GTGTGGTATGTGTACACATCAACTTGTACACGTATGTATCATGGAAGTGAATGAATAAAATGATAAATCTATAACCTTGACACAGGTGTGTTTTGTAACTGTGCATGTGTCTGTCCCATTGTCCATTGTAACGGTGTATATCGGATAATAGAATACAATATACATGTAATATCCTGTGTCATAACGGCATATGGGAACAAATTTCAAGTGTGTATCACCCACATACATGTACATGTAGGTGCTGTGCATTTCTATTTTGTAGTTTCACTTCCTATGAATCATTATTTAGCTGCGCTGTAGAAATACATGTAATTTTCATTATGTACATGTATAGGAGGTTAAAATTTTAATTTTTTTTTAATACTTGAACACACATACTTGTTCCGTAGTTGTGGGAACTACACACGAGTTGTGCCATGGTACTATGGGGACCGAAGACGCTGTGGAGACAGCAGAAAGTCCCCATAACTCGGTCCTAATTTGCCTAACAATAAAAACTTCCCCATAACGCGGTGAGGGCACGCCCACTGTAACCTGCAAAAAATGTTTTCCAAAAACTATGGCAAACTATGTCAATTGTGCTCTTACATCAGATTTAATAGCACAAAATACATTCACTTAAAGAACCAATTGATTCCTTCCTCCATGCACATAGCGGTGCTCACATGTGCGCATGTATTCAGACTAGTTCATTGTGTACATGTACATTACTTGTACTGATATGGTATCATGCATAGTACATTGCAGTGTTTTACAAAAGTTCTCCATTAAAATAATGAAGGTCTTGAAACATTTAAAGGAATATGTTTTTTTATACTATAAATAAATCTAATTAATATAACGCCCATTTTGATTTTAGTGACAGAGTGAAAGAGTAAACAAGTGAATAGGTAACTGTGTTGACAGTCAGTCAGACTATGACCCTGCCTACCAGATATGCAAGGAATGTGATTGTCCAGTCATAATACCATACAGTCAGGCCTTGGTTAGGTTCCATGCATAAGCCTGAAGCTGTGCAGTTGGGATAGAAATGCTTGGCTGCTGGGCCAAACCACACATCACAACAGTTGGGGTTTTGCTACACTCTGACACCTCTTGAGTCATTTATTATTCTGTGAGGATCAAAACAAGTGTGTCTGCGCATGGTCTATATTGGGGTGCTGTGCCTTGGGCTTGTGATCCAGTGCCATGTCTCACCAACCAATAACAATCAATTTAATTATGTTGTGAAGATCTTGGGAAATACAGGCATACATGTACATATATGTACATTGTACATGTTCAATTCAATTCAGTTGACATTTATTCATATTTAGAACTCTCCAATAAACCAATACAAAGTTTGATAATATCAATATAATACAGTAATATTTGAATAAATGATTATAAATATGAAGGTAATTACCACCAGAAACAAAATAATGCATGTATGTACATGTACATTGTATCTTCGCTAAAAGAACCAGATGTTCTAAGTTTTGCAGAAAAGGAAATTATGAATATGAGGACATGGGGTGGTACGGCTGAGTGGCAGCACCCAGTTACAGTACATGTATACATAAAATGTGTTACATAACACAGCTAGAGTAAATGTATCAAATGTGTTTATAATACATTCATTCTAGAACTAGAAGCCTACACAAAGATTTTAGCCAAAGTAGTTGAGGAACTCTGTTGGCTGTTTTAAAAACCCAATTTTGTTTTGCCAATGTTGTGCACCAAAGGATAAAATGCATTTAAGAAGTTGTTGCTCTGTACATTTATTTCATTTCTAGTCAAATGTTGGCACCGTATTTTTATATTATATAAATGATAATACAGTTATTATTATCATAATTTTCATATGCTGGCTAGAGCTTTACATGTGGGCCCACATACCAGTACATTGTTATATTAGTGTAGTGTATGTATTACCTGTACATACATACACACTGTACGTATACATTTTGTTTTGTACATTGCACATCTTGGCCAATTTCCATTCTACATTTTCTGTCGCAAGACACAAATCACAACTGGTGGTGCATCTGTGAATTTATGGCTTGACTTTAGCAGCCAGAGTTTACAGTGAGTTTATTTGACATGTGATATATGATTAGAGGTCTGGTGAATAAATCACTACTGTCATATTGTGGTGTCATTCATTTCCAAAGCCTTGATACATGGACACTAGGCTCTGCTTGTGTGGTATACAGTACATGTATACACTTGTATCCTCACAAAAATATTGCAGTATTCAGTATTACCAGGTACTTTTCTAGGCGGACTTTTATGTCATCAGAATAAAGACAAATGTACCGGTAGCGGTAGTGATAAGGAAACTGCAAACAGGCGGCCTCAGCAGAACTTGAAAGCCTCTAGCTGTTGGATTACTAGTATTTTAAGCAGAAGAATTAATTCTAAATGCATACTGCTCACGGATGTACATGAACAGTGTACATGTACATATATTTTTGTATTCGGCATCGTACAGGTACTTGTACAATTACAAATGTACATGTACATTTTTATAGAGCAAGGACAAAACAAGCCACAGTAGGGCCCATCAAATTATTACTAGGCCAGGGAGGGTGATAATTGTTTTAAAGGATAGCTGATTAGGGCAAGTTGTAATGTATTGTTGTACAATTTTGTTGTAAATGTACCGGTACATGTAGTATTCCATTCTTGAAACATCCACTTGATTTTGATTGAATATTTATATTCAAACATTGACATTGAGGTAAAAACTTTACATGAATATCTTGTCAATATATTTTTTTTTTAGAAAGCTGACTAGTTAGCTGATACATGACAGATTTTAGAGAACTCAGATTTGGGCTATAAAACCACTCAAGTTATACATGTATGAATAAATTTACATCACAGACATTTTTTGGGTCATCTTTTCGAGATGACTCACATTTTTTTGAATATTCTATTTGGTAAAATGCTATTCAGATATTCAGTGGATGATGATGGATGATGAAATATTCAGATATCTGGTATTGTAGGCACAGCCCTGTTATTTGTAATTCCTCCTGCTTCCTTGTTCTATGGTACAACAGAGGAACTTGGCACAAAGCTACATGTATAATAATGATGGACGTCACTGCAGGACTTTGCGTGTGCATATTTTACCAATGTTTGCCTTCTGGAAAACCCAGCATACCGGTACCTGTACAAAGTTCATGTACATGTACCGGTACATGTACCAGATTACCAAGACTGTTACATTGGAACCAAAAGAATGGAAACTACGGTACATGTACCCATATCAGCCAAGTCAGCTTCAGAAATTAGCTGTAGCACTAGATAAAACTCCTTATTTGGAGCCAGACTACAGGTGTTTCTTAGTACTGTAACGATGATATTGGTGTCTGACATTGTAGGCATCTGTCAGTGTCCAATGTTACCATATGACCTTGTGGTTTAATATTACAAACAATAGCACATTTGAGAAGCATAAGGTTTTAGTTTTAGATTCCCTTTCCCCCTCTGTTGAGTAACAACAGCAAAGGACTTGTTTATAAATACATGTATAAAAACTATTTTGTTTTATGCATTTTTATTTTTTTATTTTTAATTACACACATGTACACATCACACCGGTACATACGTTCGTACGTCATGTGAATGAGTTTAAATTATGCGTTCACGCACTTGAAGCATTAAGGTCTACAAGGAACTCGAAAAGTCAACTCGAAACTCGAAAACTCAACTCAAAACTTGAAACTCGAAACTCAAAGGAAAAAAAACCCTCACAAAAGTCACATGTAAACCAGCCAACAGTGGTTTAATAGACTTCAGGAGATTCAGTCTACACTTGTTGTAGTTCTATGGCGTTTGTATGCAAGAGGGGTTCCATATGCCCGGGGGCCTACAAAACCCATTACACCATAATGGACAACAAGTGTTTTGTTAACCTTTGGATCATTATTTTTTATAACATGTTGGAACCTTCCAGAAGTAACCATGTGATAATTAAAATATCAGCTGTGTAAAGAGAGGATTTTTTTTCTGATTTAACACACCTACGCATTGTAATTGAGCAGTCCATTGCTTTGATCTTTGATTATATACCTGCACAAATTGCTTTTGCACTTTCAAATCCTGTTTAATAGCATACACTTTAATTAGAATATTCAGACTGAAAAGGTGTGGATCAGTTCAACTAACATTGCAGGTTTGGAAGGTATTTTGAACAAAGGTGTACGGTGTAGATTGAAATGTGATGTAACACCCCCACACATCTAATGTACGTTGAAACTAATTGTGGGATGGGGTTGAACACCACATTGACACAACCAGGGTTATTGATACTTTTGACAGAATTTGCAACAAATTGAAAATAATTCTCTACCAATGTTTGCATGCAATGACAAATGAAATAGTGCTCAACGCTCTCTGTTTTCAAAAGGGTATGTTGTACATATTCACCCAGAACCATAATAACTACTAGTCTATGTAATAGACCTTGGCGAAAGCCATGGTCTATAACTTTTTAGCAGATATGCTGATTAATTATGCAAGACAACCGCATCTTGACCTCTAGATTTTGACCAATCAGCAGGCACTTTCTATATCGGGTCTTCGGTCACTCACCGTTTTCGTAACATAGACATGGATAAAAAAAAACCACTCTAGACACAGCAACAAAGGCTGAGGTCACGCGCTCTTTATTATGTTACGCGATACATGCCCGGCTGTTGTTGTATTACAAAACACTGCTTTCGAATTGACCAGTCACAGTTTTAGTCATGATTTGGGAATGAAATGACGTCACGATTTAGTAAAGTTGACTCCGATTGGCTGAGGCGCGAGATCGCATAAATCTGCATCCTTTGGCATATCAGACGTTATACATGTACAGGAGACTTGGCTACGGGTGATACTCAGACTAAACACTTTCACTGCTCATCTTTCAATGTACATTAGTCTGTAAACATGGTAAGCCCTGCAATCATTTCTGTGTTGATTGATATGACATTATTACCCCTCATCATGTTGTGTGTTTGTAGGATGGCATTTCAGCCCTTGTGACTGATGTTAACATTCCAGCAGTCAAGAGAAACAAGAATGTGGAAACGTTCCTGGAGAGATGTAAGTCGCCACGAGTATTTATCGAACTTTGTTTTATACATCCTTTTCTAATGTTACTTAACATGCTTAAAGGGAATTTAAACATCAAACATTGGCAAACATCAAAAAACAAAACTACCAAATTATTACGACATACATGTACCTTACTTGACTGATAGTGAATGACAGTCCAAAGCATTCTGCAAAATAGTGGCACCTGGTGTGCTGTCATTTTCAAGAAAAGTGGTATTTTTGTATCAATTTCCAATGCTGGTTGGCCGACCAGCGTTTGAAAAAAACTGGCTTTTTCAAATACTGCCCACAATTTACCATATTTAGTTAGTCCGCATTTTGTTTGCCATCGATTACACACCTATGAACGGGTACAAGCCAGCTAGTCTGGTTTCCTGACCTTTAAATTCCCTGATGTCTATAAATTGCTCTGTTTCATCTTAAGTCTGGTCAGGGAACCAGACTACAGGAACATGATTGTTTTTCTTGGTTTTTCCAGCATCTACAGTACGAACACAAAACCTCAAACAAGTCAGTGTAACAATATTTGCTTTAAAATACTAACCCCCCCAAATCTATCCATTTCTGAAAATTACAGCAAAAGCAAATGTTGTATATTCCCCTTAAACTATAATAAGGGCAATTTCCAAATTTCAAAATCTTGTTACATTTACATGTTCTGTACATGCATCTCATTTTGATGTATAATTCTGAATCACATTCGCAGTGTGTTTCTTGTTTGTTTTTAGTTTTTATTAATTATTTTTCTCTTCAGATGACAGTGCTGTTCAGGAGGTTAGTAAACACCGACTCTCTGCCAAGGATTTCCAAATCATCAAGGTCATCGGCAGAGGGGCTTTTGGAGAAGTCCAAGTGGTAAGAATTCACACCCTTATCAACTGGCATTCTAGAGTACTCGTCAAACCAAATACATATACATGTGTATTACGAACTACTCTTGTCAACCGAAATAGATTTTTGTCTCTAACAGGGTAACTTGATGGATTAATTCTTCAGACCCTTGACTTATTTTGAATGAGTTTCTACTCTTTTTTCAAACATCGAAATGCATTCAAACGTTGGTTTGAGGCAAAAGTCTGGAACTCCAGTCTGATATGGTGTCACATCGCCCAAAGTTTTCTGTTTTATTCCATCTCTGTTCTGTCTATGTGTCTATGCCCTGAGCTCTGTACTTAATGTCTTGAATCAATGTAATCCCCATAGATGTCTGTCATTGCAAGTACACACTAGGGTTTTCTTGCACTAGCTGTCCCAGAGCCATAATGCATTACTGTACCCACAGAAAGGTACTCAAGCCTCCAACATAGTTTTCTCAGTGCGTAAAGCCTATCTTCAGAAAATTGATTTTGATTCACCAGGGGTTTTTATTAATAAGAGCAGAAGTAGTACTAGATATACAGGCACCGGGCTCATGTACATGTACTACATGTAAACTTGTTCACCATCATTTTTTACATACTTGTAAATTGTAAGTGGTTGTCAGTCCCATAGATGTTTCTTTGAGGATTTTTTTCTCAAAAATGTGTTATTTTTTCTTCTGTTGATAACTGTCTGAGGAAAACAAGAACCCCCTCCCTCCCTCCCCCCCCCCAAAAAAAACCCCAGTAAAATTACAGGGATGGCTGGTTCTGAACATTGATAGTTGATACTCGGTTGCTAGAGTGCACTTAAAAACAACTTTCGGAGGTGAAAATTGAGGGAGAGTGTGCTGTGCCTGAATCCTCATGGGTACATGCTATGCATTCGTAGATTGAATTGAGTTTTGGCATGATACATCGGAGGCCCTTGTGCTGTGCTTTTCACACATCCTTATGTTTATACTAGTATAAACAGTGACAGCTACGGTTGTACTATTTGTTGATCTTATTTAGTTATCAGACGGATAAAATGTTGAGAGATCAATTTAATTTTCCCATTACTGGTGCAGTGGGCCTATGTTTTCAGAAATTAAATTGACCACAAGCGAATAAGCATCTGCCAACATGCAGAACTTCTTTTTTATACTGTTGATAACTTTAAATGCATGTTTTTATGAGGTGTTTTTCCTTTCTCTTATCGTTACAGTTGAATTGCTATTATATCTATTAACTGAAATTTATGTACACATTGCTTCATTATTTTAAAAATAACTTCTTCTTTTTTTAAAATCTGCTATGCATAGGTCCGGGAAAGAGAAAGCCGTAAGGTGTATGCCTTGAAGCTCCTTAGTAAAATGGAAATGGTAAGTCGACTGATTGAAATCTTGGCCACATTGGCAAGGAAGTATACACAGAAAACATGTCATAATAAATGTAATACCTGCTAATTGAACCTTTGGGAGACATTTTGTGGTCATTAGTTATACCTTAGGTAGATACCGGACATTAGGGAGACATTTCAATGGCTCCCTAATGTCACAGCTCCTATTTAGGGGTAAAATTGTACTGTCGCAAATAAGCTACACATGTAGATCGATTGCTCGTGGTCTAAAACATAAATATATCAAAATTCGTGGGTTAGGATAAGTTAAAATTGGGGTTAAGTGACATTAACCCTAACTCCCTAGGCCTTTTTGCTAGGATGTAGCCTCAATCCTGCAAAATTCTCCAATTGGCCTCATGGGAAAATAGCATATAGCCTTGTTCCTGCAAATTCCTCCATTATTTCTTGAATATGGTCCGTGGAGGGGTGACCACTGCCTGAATCCTGCAAAATCCTGCGGCAGTGACTGTCAATATGTTGAGGCTTAGCCAGTGACATCCTGGAGCAGTACGGAGGATTTCGAGCATAATTGAGGCCTGTATTTATGCATGGCTGAGCAAAAGTAACACAAGGTCCGGCCCAAGACCTTGATAAAGTGCATCCTCTGAAATCAGTAACGCACTTTTGCCATGTAACCTCAATCCTCCAAATTCCTCCACTTTGGCAAAGAGGATTTTGAAGGATTCGGGGCGGTTAGGGTTAAAGATGGAAAAAGTTTGTGCACAAGTGTATGGGAATGTCTCCCAAATGACCCATTTTCCATAATCAGAAAATGTGTGCATGTATCACAGATGCCTCCGCTGATCAAGATGCTGCAATGCTGTAAAGTCTTGTTATATTGTAGCTACTGTAAGTCTTATGTACATGTGTATTTTTAAAAAAAAGTTGAACCTTAGAAACGCTCTTCAAAGATATAAATGTTAAATCCATCAGCTAAAAAATGTTGATGATATGAACACTTCAAACCTGTTACATTTAATCATAAGAGTGAACATTGTGTACATTGCAAGTGTTTACTGTTACTTTTGACAGCCAGTATTTGTCAAGATGAGTCGCTGTACTCAGCTGATAACTAAATTGGATTTTTATCGGCATACCTTTGGTCAAGTTGAAACGTTCTACACAGATTGCCACTTGTTATTTTGTCGTTAGCGGTAAACAGATTAGACCACTGTTTGTCAAATGTTTGTTACAGATAAGACGGTCTGATTCAGCTTTCTTCTGGGAAGAGAGGGACATCATGGCATATGCTAACAGCGAATGGATTGTTAAGGTATGACTCAGTAAGGTTACAAGAGTACCCCCACGGAACAGGGTCTGCATAGTGTTGAACTCTCTACAGAGCAGGCAAACACATCAAAACGGGGACATCCAGAATATCCAATAAGCCTTTCAAAAGACACCCAGACACAACTGGCTAAAGACGGGGTTTCAACCCATAGCCATATTCAACCCCAGCCTTCCTGTCACTCTACCATTATCACAGTTTAGCAACTTGAGAAGAAACTAAGATCTTAACCTTTCTCATCATCAGGATACAATGTATGTCTTCATTTCATGTTCAGAAAGGTTAACGTATGCATTAGGGACAGGTGATTAACACTATGGGTTAGCTACACAATTGGAAATTGCCAGGGGGCCGGTAGTGTTGTGTTACTGACTGGCTAATGTTACACAGGCGCATCTATCTGCATTAACATGCTGGGGTTCAATCTGTATTATGGCACGCTAGTCACGGGTTCCCTGTAGTGTGTAACAGTTGGTAACCTTGTCTTTAGTGTTATGTGATAAGGGATGGGACAGTTCAGAATTAAAGCAGGTCAGATAAAAAAGAAGGTCAGATAAAATACATGTACATGTAGGCCTAAGTCTTTTCAGACAAGGTTTTAATTGTGTTTACAGTAGTAACCCGACCTACCTGGATTTTTTTAGGCCAAATTAATATTAATAAAAATACTGTGTATTTATACATGTACACTGCACCTATCCACCGGTATTGGTGCTCAAGGCGCTGCAACCTCAAACTTTTTATTGCTTCCAACCTCAAACTTTTTATTGCCACATTTTGCCCAAAAATTTAAAGTAAAGTACATGTATATTTTAAATAATTACAAAGTCTTCTCTATGCAATTGTGTGTGTGTGTTATTGGTTAACTAAACAATTAAACTGGTTAATTAAACAGTTTACCATTAAATGTATCCTAATGTTAACAAAGTAAGTGTAAAAGACCGACCGACGAACACAAAAGAAAGTTACAAAATAATATTATTTTCTTGCCTGCCTGGATAACCTTTTATTGTAAATGCACCTTTTTTTTCTCGGCCTAATGAACACAGCGGTTGTTTTTTACCGTGATTTTTAGCCATCAATGCTCAGTGTGTTTGCTCGTAAATATTGGATACTGAAGTGAATATTTGTTTTAGCCAAATGCTTGGCATAGACCAAGGAGGTAGAATTAGACCAATCTGGGATGCTACCACATTTATCATGAAGGCCCCCTTCCATGGTGAAAGCATTGTGCTTGCTATCAGTCAGATAGTACGTTACAGGGTATTTGCTTTTGTACAATAGCATGCACATGGCTGGAAAGAATGAAGTATCCAGACACCACTTCAGCGGTTGTGTACAAAGTCTATGGAGAGTCAAGACAATTTTCTAAGTATTTCCTAACAAAACTGGAAATGTTTCTCAGTCCCAGATTCATGTCTTTTCAATATTTTTGCAATGACTGACCTTTAGTAAGATGATATATGAAGAAAAAAGTGGCGTCAGGTTGCAGCATTCTTTCTGCATGTTTTTTTGCATTGTGTGTTACAGTGATCACATGCATGGATTTGTCATTGGCTGTGTTTGTTGCTGTGCTATTCTTTTCTAATTCACATGAGGCTTAATACCATCTTTTCAATGAAGGTTGAATACATGTATGTTGTGCAAAGAATGTGGCAATACCGGTAGGTTCCATCACTGTGGTGGATTTTGCTGTAGTCCAGGTTCCTAACTAAAATGCCTGTGGAAGTTGCGATTATTTTTTATGAATTGGATTTTTGTTCTCCTTTTGTATAATACAGCTTCACTTTGCTTTCCAAGATGCCAAGTACCTGTACATGGTCATGGACTTCATGCCCGGTGGGGATCTGGTCAACCTCATGAGTAATTATGAGATTCCAGAGAAATGGGCCATGTTCTATACAGCGGAGGTTGTACTAGCACTTGATGCCATTCATTCTATGGGATTCATTCACAGGTAAGGACACGCTTCAGTCAGGAGTCTGCAGACCGCATGCAGAATTCTACTGTTACATAGGACCAGCCAGCATGCATGTCCTCAGACCCAGGTCCTGTTATGCCTGACCAAGTTAATGAAACACTCAAGGGTCTAGAGCTGTCCCGAATAGTCAAATATTCGATCAACAACTGAGTCGCTTTTTAGTGTTTTGAGTATTTGAAAAAAAAAAAAAAAAAATACGCACAAACACACATGAGTGCGATGTTATTTTATTGTAAAGTTGCAGCGCTTTGTTGTCAGGTGCCACTATTTTATCGTCGGTAACTTTTTGTCGACAGCGGTTCATGGTTAACATCCTTTTAGCAGGTTAAAGCCCTTTTACAGTTATAAGATACTTATTGCAAAACACTCCAGCGCCCCATGTCGATCGCCGCACGCTAAGTTTAACTGGCACTCTTCATGCAACATTTGACTGGCGCAGCAGGCACTTGCAGCTGGCAGTTTCAAATATCCGAATATTCGGTCCAATGCAGTTTGTTAGTAATGGAATACTAAATAATTTGAAAATGGACAACCCTACAAGGGTCAAGCATATGTGTTATTTTAATTTTCTCACCGATAAAAATCCATTATTTTGTAAAATCTGCAGATCCATATTACTTTTGTTTACAGGGTCTTTTTTAACACACACACACACTAGCCTTGTCTGTAGACTCTATTTGGCTCTGCAGACTCGTAATTAGACTGCTTTAGCATTACTTCAAATACAGTGTGTTACAATGAGAGAATAAGTTAATAATTAGGTCATGAGAATTTTAACGATTCAGTTTACATGACTGCAGACTTGATGACGTAGGATTGACTCACACAAGTGTGTAAACACCTTCAATCATGGACCCCTATTGTCCCTCTTTTGTTTGCACCTTAACTTTTTAGGAAGACCTCCCATATATTTTGTACATGATCATCAATTGTGGACCTTTGGGAAGTGTGAACCCTTTTGTCCCCTATTGTTCAACATCCCCTATTGAATGCAAAAACAAACCCATGTTGACTTGACTGTAACTCTGGTGTATGCACAGGTATGTTTCAAATAGTTGTATTTAAAAACACTGGAAACTATTTAATAACTTTGTTTTGAACTATTTTGATGTACAGAGATGTGAAACCAGACAACATGCTGCTAGATGCAAGTGGCCATCTCAAGCTGGCTGACTTTGGCACTTGCATGAAAATGGACAGGGTAAGAACAATTGGTTAAATGAGTTGTTCCAACTTTTGAATTTTCCTGTTCCTTTTGAAACTCGCCTTGTTAATATGTTCCCCAGGGGAGCAAACAGTGTTCCCCACTGTTCTTAGATGGAACATGTTTTTCTTAGTAACGGTTAGTAAGTTGGTACATGTATATATAGGCAAATATTTCCTTGGGGCTACCTTGTGTTATGACATCACACCCAGTAAGACATTGTGTGTGTGTTCTTAATTAGATCAGGTGATATTCTGAGTAGAACATACCCAACAATTTGAGGCTTCACAATCTGCACAAGTCATACACTGTGGAGGCATAGGGTTATGTTAAGAAATGTAAAAGGTATCCTCTCCTTTTCATAGTACTTTCTCTAGATCCATCCTTGAGGCAGTTTCTAAGACCGTTGCTTTTTGAACTACATGTACCAGTAGCTTTTAACTTGTCTTTTCCATTTATTTGGCCTAGCAATAAAAAAAAAATGCACTCCCATTTAATAGTGACTCCTTAAGTAATAGTCAGGATATTTTTGTTCAGGACGGTATGGTGCGTTCAGATACAGCAGTCGGGACGCCAGACTACATATCTCCAGAGGTACTCAAGTCGCAGGCTGGGGATGGGTACTATGGCCGTGAGTGTGATTGGTGGTCTGTCGGTGTCTTCCTATATGAAATGCTTGTCGGTGAGTATAAGACTGGTTTGGGCTAGAGATGATATTATTTGGGGGGAGGGGAGGTGTGTGTGTGTTCAGACCTCTGCTGCATCTCTGGCTTCAGCTTGAGGAGATTTAGGCCCTCGACTGAAAGACTTTGGCTCAATGTAGTCAGTCTTGGCCCAAGACATCAGTGATCAATAGCGATGGTTGCATTGTTGTAGGGTGCCCTTGCACAATTCTTTTTTTTACTATCTCGCACTAACGTCTTGGGAAATTTGCAGCAATGGGGGCATGGCCATGTTATGTAAATTAGATCGTTGGTGTAAATATCTTCAAAAACAATGGCGGCTTCCCATTTGATACCGTTAGTCTCGCACTTGCGCAGGGGAATCACATGGCATTCAAAATTTGGAAATGGTGATTAATTATCTAACAAGTTTCCTCGGTATCTGTGACAAACTTCTTATAGGTAATCAGCCTGGGGGTTTGGCCAGTATCAAATCAGGGCATGAATGATTACAGTGCGCATGCGCAAGGTATACCGCCCCTAGAGTGGTAACAAGCATTTTGATGGACATTTTGAAAAAAAGGGTGATAACACCCAAAAAGCTGCCACCGCTGCAATGCTATCACATATTTTCCAACCCTGGAGGTGTATACCTTGCCAAAAATCGCTATGACGATTATTCCCCTCATTTGATACCGGTGGCCACAATTTTGGACCGAGGCTGATGGCCTACTATTGCTCTTACAATTCCTTGTCAGGTGACACACCTTTTTATGCTGATTCACTCGTTGGAACCTATGGCAAGATCATGGATCACAAGAACTCCTTAGCTTTCCCTGAAGATGTCTCTCTCAATTCCAAAGATCTCATCTCTGGATTCCTTACAGACAGGTTGGTTACCAGGTTACTGGGCAGTCATACTATTGATTGTGTGTAGTTGAAGTACCAATAATTAAACCCTCTTGTGTCACATTAGTCTTCTCTTCCAGTCAGTGCCATAAGTAGTTGTTCTCTTCCGTCGGATTTTTTTCTTAATTGTTTGGTATTTTTTTAAGTTTTAAGTTTTCTTTTTGTCTAATCTAAACAAGGTTTTAGCTAGAGGGTTGTCTGGGTGTCTTTTCAACTCCCAGTAGGCTTTTTTGGTTGCCACTCTATTTTGTTTATAATTTGAAAACCCAATGTTCCTATGTTTAAAGGGAATATACAACATTTGCATACATCACAAATCAAAACTACCAAATTATTATGAAATACCTCACTGGACTGTTAGTGAATGACAGTCTAAAGCATCCTGTAAAATCATGGCACCTGGTGTGCTGTCATTTTCAAGAAAAGTGGTATTTTTATATCAATTTCCAACGCTGGTCAGCTGACCAGCGTTGGAAAAAAAACTGGCTTTTTCAAATACTGCCCCAAATTTACCATATTTAGTTAGTCCATCTTTTGTTTGCAATTGATTACACACCTATGAATGGGTGCAAGCCAGCTAGAGTGGTTCCCTGACCTTTCAATTCCCCAACGTCTCTCAATTTTCATCTTACGTGGGGTCAGGCAACCAGACTACAGGTATATGAATGTTTTTTTTGGTTTTTCCAGCATCTACGAACACAAACTTCAAACAAGTCAGTGTATTAATATTTGCTATAAAATACTAACCCCCCAAATCCATCCATTTCTGAAAATTACAGCAAAAGCAAATGTTGTATATTCCCTTTAACTAAAACCCTTAATCTACATTTGTTGACTTTTTTGTAATGCAGAGAAAGCCGACTTGGCAGGAATGGCATTGCAGAGATAAAGAAGCACCCATTCTTTAACAGCAATGAGATGTGGACATTTGACAATATCAGACAGAGTAAGTGCACCGTACACTCCGGGACACTGCAGTATTGGCCATAGCATTGTCACAGCTATATGTTCAAAACAAGAGCCACATTGTAACAGCAAAAACTACGGTGTTGCATTCATGTATGCTTGGATTGTTGTGTACAATGTTCAGGAATTTCCAAAAGCTAGTGAGGCACCATTGTAAGGAAATGCAACACATGTAGGATAGTGCAAGGTGAATCAAATCCGAGTTGGAGGGGTAACTCTTTGATTGCAGAATTGTTTGCAAATCATTTGATTGTGTCAGCTAAACGAAGTTTTGGGGTACACTTACCAGTCTTAAATTCTGTATGACCGTATCCCCGTATGTTAAAGTTTAGGTTCAGTTTTTGAAAAAAAGTCTATAACTTTTAGATGCTTTCATGGATTTTGGTGAAACTTGGATGCAGTGACCCTTGGGTGGCCGACATAATTCTTCATCTGATTACTGAGGTCAAAGGTCATGTAGGGGGTCATTAGAGGTCATTGTTCAAAAATGCTTCAAATGTTACTTTGTCTACAGAATTCGATGGATTTTAATGTAAATTGGATGGAGTGATCCTTGGGTGGGGGTTCATGATAACTCAAGGTCAAAGGTCATGTAGGGGTCATTTGAGGTCATTTAAAAATTTACAAAATTTGACTTTTTTTTAAGAACACAAAACATAGGGATCGACCTAAAAAAAAGGGACACTTGTGATCCGCGGATCACCTTGTTTAGGTTGTCAACCTTGGTTATGACTGTTCTATGTGTGGAATTGTTCATTTTTCTTAGCTGTACCTCCTGTGGTCCCAGAGTTGTGTAGTGACGTGGACACAAGTAATTTTGATGACATTGAGCCTGAGGACAAACCAGAAGAAGACTTCACTGCTCCAAAGGCCTTTGCTGGCAACAACCTGCCTTTCATTGGCTTCACTTACAACAGAATTCACAAGTAAATTTCAGTGATTTATCAGTCAGGTGTATAACATGAAACACAAAAACATGGCTGGATAAAAGGCAATGCCAAAGAAGATGAGTTAATTTGTTCAGAGAGTGGCTCTTTACAATTTTCTAACATCACATTTGCATTCTGCCAAAAATCTGGAAGTTTACCGACTCAAATAGCTCCTGAGGCAAAAGTGACCTAGCACAGTCAAATTTGGACCTGTCTGTACACGTAGAATCCACTACCAATGTAGAGTTTCTTTAGCCCAGGAATGTAGTCGAGTTCATCACAAGTCCATCATAAGTCCAATCACAATAAGTCACAAGTAAATCACAAGTCTAGTCACAAGTTACTGTGGATGAATAAAAAAAACAAAGGAAAGCCTTTGTCAAAGTTAATTTGAATTGCTTGTGATTTGAATTGGGACTGGGGGACTTGTGATGGTCACGACTACATGCCTGGTTTACCCAAGTGATCAGAAAATGCTTGATGGCTGACTGTTTTTCACCTTCAAATCAATAAACCAACTTTAAAGGTCTATTACGTTGCACAGGCGCGGTTCTAGAGCCAATATTTTTGGGGGGCTAGCAGGTTGGATCTAGAATTTGTTTCAGGTAGGCGTGCTGAAATGTAGACCCTTTTTTTTCTCCAGACACTTAGGCCTCCGAAAATCACTAAGTGGGTTGGGGGGGGGGGGGGGGAGGGTGACTCGTGCCATATTTTCAATGGGGAGCGCTATAAAATCCTACAATCAGGCACACTATATTAACTAAAAGTGTACAATTGCACCCTTCTCATGACTATTTCTCTAGGGGGAGACCGTTCCCATGTACGTCACATTCTTACATTTTGCTAGTGCAATTTTGTTTTTTATGGAATTTTTTTGGGGGGGGGGGGGCTAGACAAAATTTTGGGGGGCTAAAGCCCCCCCTAGCCCCTCCGTAGAACCGCCACTGCTGTTGCATGTCTTTTCTTAAATTCCTGATTTCCAAACTTGTTATGAATTGCATCATTTCATTTACAGGCTGTTCAATGCGCCGAAGGGAAACGAAGAGGTAAGAACAGACTGCATGGTTATGCAGTGGCTTTGTTGAGCTGTTTTCTTGATGATTTGAAACCTTAATAAGTAGATCAGTCTTAACCCACAGTTCAACTCACAGAAAGGTCCATGTACATCACATCCCCACTATCTCAACCTTGAACACAATTCCTGACCGAGCTCTAGATGTGCACTGCTGTAAAGCAAGAAGTGAATTTTATGGGTAAATTACTGCAATGATAATATCATATGAGTCCTGAGCTCAAAGGACCAACCACAATGTATATTTATGGTGTGTTTAGAGTGGCATTGGTGGCCACATCTGGTCACATGATCTTATTTCGTCATAATTCATTCAATAGAGGGCTCTTTGAATGGGTATTTACAAGCCCTGGCACTCTATAGACCAATCTGCCATAAGATTACCATACTCGCAGAAAAGACAGCTCAGTTTTCAGAATAAATCTTTCATTGTTCAGCCATTGAGGTGACTGCAATGTTCTTGTGATTATTGAAGCAGATTTGTGGGTGTAATAAGCCTTCGCATGGCTTTGAGTTGAGTGGCATGTCTTTGATTTTACAAAAAAAAACCAAACAATTGACTCATTCTATTTTGCAATGGTCACCGAAATGTGCAGTCATGACTTGTGAAGGTTAATATACTTGTATCAAAACTAGTATTATGTTGTTTAAATAGGCTTTTCATGTACTTTCCGGTTTTGAATTATAAAGCTTGTAGTTTTAGATGATGTCATAGGAACTTCATGTTGCTAACCCTCCTTGCCTGTTGTGCCTGAATTACAAAGAGTAGCGTAGTTAGTGTCATGCCAGAAGTGGATTAGTGTTTGCAGTGTCTTTCATTCAGTCGAAAATTATCCCTATCAGGACTGCAAAAAGTTTGGTGAACATTGAGTTCAAAATCAACAATCACTGGCAGATGTGTCTGAAATATGGTGACTCTTTAAAGCATTTCTTGTAGGTTCTATGACAAGAAGTACACTTAAAAACATTGCAGAAATTGTACATCCGCAAAATTCAAACCAAAACATTTTGGGGTACAGATATACTTTGTCACCTTCATTTTTCAGAAAACCTTGTCCTGATAGGGTTAAAGATTGACATCACTGATATCACCACTATACTATAAAGTTCAGAAGGTGTGTGTATATATGTGTGTTAACGAGTTGTTGACGAGTTGATCATCTGTGAAGCAAATGGCATGCACCGGCGTAGTAGTGAAGAAGCAGCCTTCCCTGCAAAGTGGGCCAGGTGTACATTATAATTCCCTGGAGTTAATCATTGGAAATTGAATATTGCTGTGGATGTTTTGTGACATTGAATTTGTTTTGCATTTGCATAAAGTAGGCATATTGGCCATCATGCATATGAAATAAGGAACAAAACTGTCCTTCAAGACTTATTTAGTTGGATCTAGACACAGGTATGGAATGTCTCCTGACGTAGTAAGGGAGGATAGATGGATGGGGAGATGGGGAAGGAGAGTGACATGTGCTATCTTACCCTCACATACAGTCACTGGAAAGGTTTACCATTTAGACATTCAACTTACATCTAACCCTAATTCCCAAGGCATTTTTGAGCAGTGCGGAGGATCAAGTATCATATAGGCCCAAATGTATGCACGGCTGAGCACAGACAACACAAGGTCCAGCCAAGACATTTAGAAAGTGCATCCTCCAAGATCAGCCACGCATTTTTGCCATGTAACCTCAATCATGCAAAATCCTCCATTTAGCAAAGAGGATTTTGGAGGATTTGGGAAGGTTAGAGTTAACTATAGAGTTTAGACTAACTGACTGCATTCAGTTATTTTCTTTTTTCCCCTCATTTCTGCACCTATGGCCTTGCCTGGTTGGGAACTGCTTCACCTGCTGTGACTCTTGATCTCTTTACCTGATTTGATTGCACCTAACATTAGCATGATGTGAGTGTTTCAATGATCTGTTTTTGATTGATACAATGTAAAAAAGAGTTATACGTTGCCAAAATCACATTTGAGTTTCAGTTCTTCAAACATGCTTTGAAACTAAAGGGATTTCTCAAGTGTTCTTCACAGCTTCCTTCTTTGTTTGGAAGTTTATAACACCAAAGAGAGGACTGCCTGTTTTCTACTGCATGCAAACACTAATGGATAGAAAATGTTCCTTAACCCTAACTCCGTGGCATGATTTAATAGGAACCATACCCATCCTGGCAAATTCCAACTCCATATGGGAAACTGCACACACATATTTCTGACTTTGATTCTGGAGGTGTGCCAACCCAATATAAAAGACTGTCAGTTTAGGGGCACTGTACCCATCCTGACAGATTCCAACAAAACATGCCGTTGGGGTTTGATGGCTTGAGTTCTGTTAGGGTTGCAAGAGCAAGTGATATTAACCATTTGTCCATGATTTTTTCTACCTTGTGTCTATGTCACAAAATCCCTCAATTTATCAGACTCCAAGGTTCTGTATAAAATAAGGCCCAACAAATTTAATGTCGTGTTTCTGCTAACAGCGCCATTTGCTTTTTTGCCCAGCAGAAAAATACCAAAGAATGCACCAGAAAATATTTGCTATTAAGCCAAGCCAAAAAAAAAAAAAAAAAAATTAAGAAAAGTAAACCTGTGCTTCTTCAATTTACTCCAGGCTGTAGGCTTTGGTAGAGGTCCAAGGTGACATAGTGGACTTGTTTCCATGAAGCCATCAGCGGCCGGTTCCATTTTCTCAGGTTTCATTGACAGACAACATTTGCTCATACAAACTAACATGTACATGTAGCTCACCATCCACAACATGGGAAATATATGCATTGTTTGTACTTCAATGTAGTTTCCAATTTAGTTTGCTTCTTGCATACATGTAAATTCATGAAGGCCAAGAAAAAGTCCTTCTGCTCCTGATTACATACATGTACCATTTCAAAATAGGGTAAAAAGATCGGTCAATTTTAATTATGCTGATTATTCAATGTATTTTCGACCCCAACTGTATATTTGCACTACAGAATTTGTCATGCAGTAGTAAAAGTGTTTATCATATGGGAGATCCACATCACTGCCACTCAAAATGATCCACGGATTTCAACCATTTAAACATTTTTTTTACTACAAAATACAATGTTTCTGATTGTTAAGAATGTAGTTGAGTTGCTGTCAAATCATGAAGCGTTTTAACAGTTGCAAAGAAAAAGTGCTGCAAATCAGTAGGCTTTTGCTGTTTCCCCTTGCTAACATGAAGTTTCATGCATGTACATGACAATTCCTATTTACATCTTATTTCCATTTTTTCCCTTTCAATCAGGGTCCAAGACCTTCGGTAAGTGTTTTATTAGGATCTTCTTTCCACGTGACATTCCCTTCAAAAAAAAAATATTTTCTTTTATTTATAATTTTAACATTCTTAAAGTCCTTGATCAAAGCACTATAGATATCACATTTTGCACAGTTTCTGAAAATGAGCTCTTCAAAACTTTGTCACCTTCTAAAAATGAGGACTCAAACCTTTCTTGCATGAAGATGTGATTTTTAACCCACCCCAACTCCATCAAAATCCATCCTTCCATTTTGGTGAATTTTGGGGGACTTGGTCCAGAAGGCCTGGCATGACTAAATATTGATGGATTATGATGGACTTGGGCCTAATGGCCTGAAGCAGTTCTGGGGGTACCTGATTGAGTTTGCCTGTCTTCCTGTACTGCTATTTTGCGATAAAAGCCATGTGTAGCAAGTCCATGAATGTCAACCAGTGCGTCAATGGTGGATTCCATTATGTCATGTACAGTTTTGTATTGGACGCACATTGATTGATGGATTCTGATGGACTTGGTCCAGTTCCTAGTAAAGACGCTAGGGAGTTAGGGTTAACACAAACTTGTGTTTAATAGGTATATGCTGATGTTTAAAAACTTAATCTCGTGTTTGATACAGAGGGATTCTAGCGAGCTAATAGCCAAGTTAAAGGAAATGGAGAAACGCTATGCCCATGAGAAGCAGTCACGGGAAAGCTTTGAGCACAAGTACAGGACAGCGAGTGCCAAGTTACACACAGCATATCAAGAGCTAGAGAGAGAGGTAATATACTGAAGTCCTGTTCACACTATGAGCCAAGAGGAAAGTCACACACCTCCCTTCACATTCAATCCTGTTCCTACCACAACCCACGTCCTTTGAGGTTAAGTTCACACCTGTCATTTGTGATCCCTGAGTATGGTGAATCCGTTATCCATCAGGGGATACATTCTGATAGATACTCAAAGCTGGCACATGAAGACCTTTATTTTGGTCTTCATGTAGCTGTTGGTGTCTTTTGGATTCATCAGGCTACTTCTAGCTATTGCTGGATTCCGTTAGATCCTTTTGGTGACTAAAGAAAACCTGACAGGGAATTGGTTAATACTGAGTCTTTGTCTCTGTTTTTGATATATGTTTTGGTTCCTCACAGGAGGATGAAAGACGATGCTTAGAAGGAAAGCAAGAGCGGCTGATTGCAGAACTCAAACATGAAAAGAAAGAGGTTTGTTGACTTTGTTCTAAAGGATCAGACTCAAGACTGCTTCCTACGTTATCAACTTGTGATTGTCTAGAAGACAATCATGAATTGACACAACTCATTCATCATCAAGTCATGTGACAAGCTGTAACAAAGCAAAGCTGTAACAAAGCTGATTTGCCAAGTGTAGCATGTTGTTGAGTTTTAGCAGCACTTATAGCCAAATATGCCATTGAAGGTTATAAGGGTTTCAATAAGGGAATAAATATGTGCTTGGCCGGGTTTAAACAATTACATTTAAAACCGGCTAGTGGCCAGGACGTGTCAAATATCAAAACAATTACAAAAATTCACAGTATTCCAACGATTTTACGTCTATGTTTTGTGAAACACCCCTCTGGCCATATCTATGGTACGTGCCTTGTGCGTGTAGTGCTAAAAATCTCCTGTTTATGGAGATTGGCGTGCACGGCATGTACTGCACGATGGGGCGCAGAATGCAGCGGTGCAGGAGAAAGTGTTTGAAAGTAGCCGGTGTTTTATCAGCTGTTTAAAACCCACCAAGGTGTTGGGCTCTCGACCAATAGGAATGGGTAAAACTGTCTTGGTAAAAATCAGAGCAACTTGTTAGACTGTAGCTTTGTTAGTGTATTCCATTCTGTGCGGGACTTGGTTGCTAACTGTAGTCTGATCTTATCTTCAGATGAAGAGAAAGCTGGACCATGAGACGGAGATGAGACGTCAGCTGGAGTCCCAGGTCAAGATCATCCCACAACTAGAGATGAAAATCCGTGAGATGAAATCCTTCCAGGACAAAGTCGCCATGCAGGACCGGCAGATTGACAACCTCAAAAAACAGCTGCATGGAGAGAGTGAAACCTCGTCCAAATTCAAGAAGACGCTGACTGATCATCAAAAGGTTCGATAGAAGCTAGAGCAATCCTCATGTATCACAAGAAATAAGTTTCTCTCAATGAAGCAGTCTTTTGTAAATACCATCGGCTCTGAATAGTTGATTCAGTGTCCAATGGTGCATGTTGACATTAAGATGTAAAAAATTCATAGTAGAAATAGAAAACTTCTTCTGACATAAGTAAGAAATGTTGACAACTTTCGGTTTTATTTGTTTACCTGTCTTTTTCTGAGCCAATAGTTTCTGTGCATAGCAAGGACATGGAATTGGCTTTAGGTGTAAGATCTTTGCCACTCAACATGCACTCTTAGAGAGGGTAGCATGCAACAAGTACATTGATGGAGTGCATATATTTTATGATAATCTACTGTTGTATACTTTAAAATATATTTTTGACAGAATTATTCCCTGCTGGAGCAGGAAATCCGAGACACCAAAGACAAGTACAATCAGATCCTGGAGACCAAGCAGTCTCTGGACCATGAGATCATCTCCTTACAGAATCAGCTGGAGGAGGAGCGAGAGAGACGAGCCCAGATGGAGAACTTGAAGGTTGAGGTTGAATGTAAGTGACACACATGTGGCATGATACCAAGCATATCATGATATGATGGAACACATATGTGAGGCAGTCTGGCAAAATGAGACGGAACTGGGCACAGGCCATAGTGGGAAAACATGCACACGAAATGGAGTGGGGCTGATTTTTTTGTTGGATTTTCAGATTTATTGATAATTAGAACCTTTGATATGTTTACCAGACATGTTTTACAAAAATAGTAGAAAAATCGTGGAATAGAAGTGTTTTTAAGGAAAATCAATTGGCATCTTTCGTTTGCAGGAATACAAAACTGAAACTTTGAAGGCCTCTTTCTCAGTAATTTTACTGACACTTTAAACATCCATAACTTGCAAACTGAATGTCCGATTGAAGTACAACAAACAGCATTGTAAGGAGAATTTTCTTCTCTTTTGTTATACCTGTAAACCCTCATTTCGACCTCTGCCCAGTTGTGTCTCAATATGCCAGAACGCCTTATATATTGTAATACTTGGAAAAAGTGTAATAATTCAAACACACCCCACAGACAATCTATAGCGTTTGTTTATGGTGTAAATCGAGAACACACATGTGTAACATCATCGAGTAATTGAGGACAGGATTCCAATCGAGGACGACCTCGATTAGAAAATATGTACAAAACCATGGGAGCTGTTGCAAAAACAGTGTGTATAAATGATCGATGGTGAGGAACAATAGAAAATCCTTGATTTACACCATAAACAAACGTGATGGTGTTTGCCTTTGTATTGTCTTCATATGCAGGTTTGAGATTTGAATCTAGCGACATTCTTGATGACACATCGATACTTGTGTTGATGACATATCGATACTTGTATTGATGACGTATCGATACTTGTATTGATGACACATCGATACTTGTACTGCATTGCGATACATTGATGCTTTGATGACTTGTTTCAATTGTAACCTGAGGTAGACCTAAGAGTATCATGTAAACAACTCACGTCCTACATCACAATGGTCACATCTAGCTGTCAGTTGTACCAAGAAGTCCCAGATAAAAAGGTTGTGACTGAACAAGAAATGAATGAAGTCCTTACAGTGTAAGTTGTCATTTCTGATCAGTGTTGATTCTTTGATCCTTCATCAGGTCGTTCAGCCAACCTGACTTCTGACATCTTCCGGATGAAGGAAGAGGAGAGTCGGGCCATCGCTGAGCAGCAGAGACAGCAGCAGCAAATTATATTACTGGAAAAGGTACCAGACCGGTCAGAAAGACACACAGACAGACTGACAAAGTGACAGATGACAAATCAGAATCTTGAACGTATGATGTAGAATCAGAACTGTTGTTTTGACCTCGGATATGAAGTGCTCCATAATTTTTTTAAATTTTTTTTCAAAACCTTTTTTTGTCCACTGAGACTTGTGAAGCAACGGAATGTCTTTACTGGAGTACCTAAAACCAAGCTCCTCAAGCTCCTCAAGCTCCTTAAATCCTGTGCTAATACTTGGCACATTTTCCTGCGATCAGTCAGGAATTTTGCCTTGCACGCCGTAACTTGGCTTACCAGAGTAGCACAGAATACTACCAGGCCCAGATCTGGGGGGTGGGGGGGGGGGGGGGGGTAAAAAGAACACCCCCTGCTGTGACACCAAAAAAGTTACCACAATTATAGTAAAAATAATTACCTATATGTCCGCCTGTCTGCAACACTCGGGAACAGAGGGTAGCCAGCGTTGGTAACGGGGGTATTTGCACACTATTGTGCATGATTGTCCGATTTGAACAGCGCCGCCAGTTGAAGATGGAAACCCCCCCCCCCTCCCCCACTCCCTCCCCCCCCCCCACCCCATCTTTTTGATTTAACGGAGGCCAAGTGTCTGGGAAAAAAATTGTCTACATTTCAGCACTTACTTGCTGATTAAAAAAAATCTGAAGGGCCTGAACCTCCCCCCCCCCCCCTTTTAAAAATGTATGGATTGGCGCCTGCTTATGTTGGCAGTGTCGGCACAAAATGATGATTGTCAGCATAGAATTCCTTGGTAAGCAGACCCATCATAACGTTCCCTATGGAAAGTGCTTGTTGTATGTAGAAACACTTGCTGGTTCTAGTGGAACACTCAGGGAATAATTGCTGTTCCCATATATTTCAGAAACACCAATGTTGATAGGCTTGGAAAACTGTGAACATGCAGCGTGTAATCATAGCTGAGCTTTGTCCTTTGATCCACAGATGAAAGCCAGCCTGGAATTTGACCTCAAGTCCCTCCAACACAAAGATGAGCAGCGGGAGCTGGAGTACATGGCCCGGCAAAAGGGCATCGATGAGGTCCACAGGACCTCTAGAACCCAAAAAGAGGCTAACATGCAACTCATTGAAGGTAAGATGTCTGTCAAGCTCCGTGCACAAGTACCCCTTCAACGGCCAGAAAAGGAGAGTTGGGAGAGACCTAGACTGGTTCCCGATCCATCCACTGTGGACTTAGAATGTATTCGTAGTTATTGGGGGCTGGGATTAGTCTGGGAAACCATCGAAAGAGAAATTTGAACGCATTCGCGCACCGATAATGCCTGATGCTCATGCGAAGGCACTATGGCTTAGTTTTGGCACGTATTCAGGATACCTAAGTCGTGCGTAGAACCAGAACACTACGCACACGATGTGTGTCCCGTACACGGGGCTCTCAAAAGTGGTAAAAAAGCGCCCTCTTTGTAGGTGCATGGAGCCCATGGCAGCATGGCAGTTGTAATAAAGTTATCGCAAGACAATCACAGATACTTCACAAGTAAATTGGCAAGTCGTATCTTGTATGTCAAGCTAGTTTAGTGCACGATCTGACTTGTGATTGACTTTTGATCAGACTCGTGATTAATTTGTGATTCCTTACAGTTACTCTGATTGACTTAGTGCCCTTCCTTTTACTCCCATCTGTACTTCCTTTTACTCTGGCAGACCTCAAGAAACAAGTGCTGGAAGAGAAAGAAGCAAGGCATCAGCTTCATGAGAGTTGGCAGGAGGCCTTGAAACAAACATCCCTAGTGGAATTTGACCTGAAACAGGCCCAGCAACAGCAGCAGCAGATGGAAGATCAGAGAAAGGCAGATATTGGCAAGGTAAGGGAGAGGGCCTGGGAATCCACTATGGCAAGTGACTTGAGCTGCTTCCATACTTGCAAATGTTATTGTAAACCGTAGCCAAGGTATTTGGACGCAGCCTGAGGCTAGATGAAACATGCCCCTGGGATCACTGCTTCCTAATGCCCCACCATTTACATTGAGAAAGCCTGGCAATCTCAGGTCTTCAACAGGTTTGAATATTAGTGATAAAACATCTTGATATGTAATCTCTTTGCGGTTTAGATTGAGCAACTGAACCTTCAGCAGGAGCAAGAGGTACAGAAGAGGTCCTTCTTGGCCACTGATCTCAAGACGGCCAACCAGCAGGCCAACAGCCTGAGAGCTGAGGAGAAACGACTACGTACTGAGATGCAAGAACAGAAGGAAGCTATGCATAGTCTGCAGGTAGCACTACAGAAGAGCAAGCAGTAAGTCCACATCTAGCCAGCTTTCAGTTTCACGTTAGAAGGAGGATGTAGCAGTCCCATGCAGGATGTATCCCATCTCCATAGAGTTATACATATTTTTATATTGTATTTTAAAAAACTAGAGAGCGCACTCGCTGTACACGTTTGTGTCGACATGGACACGCAGCCGCCATACTTTAGGTTGAACAATGGACCCACTTATGAATTGTTTTCTACGTGCGTGCATGTGTACATACCCTCGTAAGTACTATGACGTACGTACACCTTGCACACGTATAGACTGAGTGCACTTATGCAGTTTACCGAGCTTATGACGTTTCCAAGCCGTTGCTAAGATTGGCGGGGTTTATGACCAGTTCCGATCGGTCCATTGTTCCACCTATATGTATGGCGGCAGTGTGTCCATTTGCACGTGCACGTAGTATAGACCATTGTCATGTTGCGGCCATTTGGATTTTTCCCATTCAAATCAACCTACAAAGCGAGGCTGGAAGAAAAACTAGTCTGGCTCCTTTTTTGCACAAAAACATTTATCATTCAGTACTGTAATTAGATACAGGGAACATGACTGAAATGGTGACAGCATGATCAGGGATGTGATTTCTCCAGTTATTTCCGGAAATCCGGTTTTTTGGGCCTCAAAAGTCCACCAACGTGAATCGTGTGAATCCGTTGAGAAAATAGGGGGGTAGAATGTGCTAATTAATTATTCATAATGAGTTTTGCTTGCCGAAATATCCGAAATTTACTTACGAAGTTACGGACATAAACTTCGTTGATCGATATGTACATGCCGCACGCACATATTGAACACCCAATATGAGAACGAAGTTGAAGACCAAGCGTTGCCATTAGTGCGATTATGTGATTTTTCGCTCGGGGCCGAGGTTGTGGTTATGTAGGTCTAGTTCCTGTGTCGGTATTCGAGATGCACGTGTTGCGCTGGTCAGGTGTGCAGACGAGTGCAGCATGGTACACTGGTACCCTTCGCGTGCTAACAGAATCAATGCTATGATGAAGGACCAGAACCAGTGACTACTGCAAGTACTCACAGGTTCGTTTTCACGTGCGTAATCGGCCGAAGTTGGATCGTAAAAATAGTAAAAATACCAAACAACCATCGATGGAAAAAGAGGATTTCTGCAAATTAATTCACAGAACGTGATCTCCATTTTCTGTGTATGTATTTTCCATTGAAATGACGAGATTGCAAAACTCGAACCTGTGGAGAAACATCGTAGCGTGTTTCTGCAGTCCTGCAGAATTTTCGGCTACGTGGGATGGGCCGTACACAGTGCAGCAATGCACACTGATACTGCGCCGGGCCGGCCGTGTGTACGGCGCGATGTACGGCTGGCCAGACTGAATGTTTGCGGCGCTAGCGGCCGTGATGTACGTTAAGCAAAATTGTGAAATGGTGAAATAATTTTTATCCAACAATACTACAGACGCTATTTTGAAAGGCATGTTATTGGAAGCAGAAGTGATTTAAGTTTACAATTTTGATTTTTTTTTTTACAAAAATATTACAAGATCTCCTCTGAAATGCTCTAAAATGCACCAGAAAGCTTCTAAAGTTCAAAATTTTTCGGGGCCCCACGCCGTGGCTTCGCAGGTGGTTGTATCACAACAAAAAATCCCCCACAGGTTTGAACAAATCCTGGGGAGAACAGCATGGTTCTCAACTTTGAGTACAGAAAAAACTTTATTAGAACAAGAGTACATTTTAACAAATAAAGGAAAATTCTTCATAAATTTAAAACAAATTCTGCTTCAGAATTTCAGAGGAAAGTGCCCAGTAATTGCCTCAGTTTGCACCACAGAGCATCTAAAATCAAACATTTTTCGGGGCCCTTAAGCGGGCCCCGGACCCCACGCCGTAATGGCTTCGCGCTTCGCGCTCGCCTGAGAATGCACTTCATGCATAAAATTTTCAGGTTTTTTTGTCACATCCCTGCATGATAAAGGTCTATAGCGAGTGCGCTCTCTAGTTATTTAAATATAATGCGGTGACCATCCCCAATCTTTCATTTTGCCGAGAGGGTTTTCGGTAAAGCTGACACTCTGACCAGACGTGTCATCTACTATGGGTGGCTGTTGGCTTCTGTAAGGAGCTCTTTTGCCCTTGCATCTTTCAGTAATGTTGGGTAAACCAAGTAGGAGGGCCTATTTAGTCACCAACCACCTGACTACATGTATGTGGCAGGTTGCACTGGGTTACCTGGTACCGGTAGCAGATGGATACCTGACCTGACCAGCTCTAAGGGGGTTACATTACCCTTTCTGTATCAGGTCCTCCTCCAAGACGCTTCAGTATATGCAGAAAATGCCTCGTATTTTTGGCTCAAATCTTCAAGATCTGCCACATAGAAGGGATGATCTGCATGTTGGGATGCAATCAAAAAGACGCTGCAGATACAAGTTTATCCCTGATTGGGTTCCTGATTGGGTTCCTGATTGGAGCATAGAATGCTGTACAAATCTTGAAATTGTCTGTTAGTATCACAAGCTGTTTTCCTTTTTGATTGTCGAGGATCATCACCTGTTTAGTTTACTGGTTGAATGATATTTTTGGACCTTTCAGGAATGCAGCCCTTACAACTCTCCAGATCAGAGAACTGCAAGAAAATCTAGAATCGGAGCAGGAATTCACTGTAAGTATTTGTGCTTTCTTGAAAACAGAAGAAAAATTGTGGATGGTTATCAGTCAGCAAGGCATCAGTTGGGGGGTTAACAATGTGCATGCAATCCAAATAGTAACTGATAGTTAACTAATAGATAGTATAAGTTCATGGCGCTGGTTCTCAAGATGTTTTGTTTACTTTCCAGCAATTGTACAAAAACAACAATGTAGTACTAAAGGATCAGTTGGAGGAACAAGAACGTGATTTGGAGCAGCGCAAGCAGAGCATCATATCGCTGGAATCTGAAAGGTAAATATTCACTTTTTATTCATGCAGGTGGGGTTAAATCATTGTGCATCTTCACCAGTTTATGTATCATTTCAGTTATTCCCTATGCAGAGGCACTGTAGCTCTCGACCTAGAAAGCATAGAGAATGTAGAAATGTTCAGTTCTGGAGGTGGGAGGTAAATCTAGAATGATTATTCCAGGAAAAACCTACAAATTTTGACTAGGGTTGAAAATGCAGTCTGCATGTCGGCCTAGCTGGGCTTCCAAGAGTTGGAAGAGGAGGAAAGTATCACAGCACCATGTTGACAACAAAGTCTTTGTTTGTTACCATGTATGACTCTGGACTTGTAACCATTCAGTTCCAAGACATGTTAACTTGACCCTGGTAGGGCTGAATATTGTGAAGTTCCTTGATGTCTACGCTAACCTTTTAACTTTCATGACTGTTTGTATTTGCTATTCTCCACAGGGATTCCTTGTCCACGCATCTGGAGATTGCGCTTACCAAAGCAGACTCAGAACAACTTGCTAGGTGAGCATTGGCAAGAAAAATACCTCATTTATAACATATTCACTCATCATTGGATTTAATTCAGCCACGCTCAAGTCAGCCTCAAGTCATTCCAGTCTCAAGTCAATTTAAAGGATGTTCAAATGAAGTTTGACAGAGGCATTTCTTCATCCTCCATTCCCCCTAATATGGAATTTGAGTTGTGAATGACTTGAGTGACGTGTCATTGACTATTGCAACTCTGCAGCCTACCTACCAATTGAACTTTCAATGGTTAAGATATCTGCACTAGTAGGCAGAAGTTCAAGGGTTCAACACCCCCCCCCCCCCACCCCGGTATTCCCGGAAAAAATTGCAACCTGACGCCACTTCAGCAGTTGTGTACAAAGTCTATGGAGAGTCAAAAAAAAAATTCCTAACAAAATTGGAGATGTTTCTCAGTCCCAGATTCATGTCTTTCATCATTTTTGCAATGACTGACCTTCATTGAGATGATATATGAAGAAAAAAGTGACGTCAGGTTGCAACATTTTTTCCGTATTCCCATTCAAGCTACTTCTCAAGGGTCTTCAGGGTACACTTCACCTGCCGACAATACACAAACACATCCTTGATAATAAAGTTAATCTTAACAAGCCTACTAGTCATGACACCTGTACATATTAGTGATCAATATCTTTTCTGATTTGCATTTTCTTGAATATGGCAAAGTAGCAAAATATCGCAGTAGCAAATTAGCACACAAAGTGTCAAATGTCATTGTGGTTTGTTGTTTGTCATTGTCGTTTAGTTAACATATCATTTTGTTTTGCTGTCAGGTCAATTGCGGAGGGACATTGCTCCGATCTGGAGAAAGAGAAGACAATGCGAGAATTTGAGATCAAAGACAACCTCCTGAGATACAAGAAGGATATCAACGAGAAGAACAATCTCATCTCACAGGTAATTACCCCCCCCCCTCTATAGTGAACCACAAGCCCCTTCCATTCCACACTCGCTCTACCCATGCATTGTTTGTATAATTTGGAAGGCATCAGTAAAATATTTATTGTGCATATTATAACAATCAGACATGGCTTTATCCCTCATTATTCTCAGGGTTATAATCAAAATCCCAGACAAATCACAAGTAAGATGGGATGAGCAATGACAAAGGACCGACTTTGTTACTTGACTTGAGACGGAATGAATTGTGATTGATTAGTCATGATAACTTGACTTCAACATTTCCCCTGTCTGTTAAGGTAGAGTATATCATTTGCAGCTCTCCAAAAAGTAACTGACAAAATTAATGTTGAAAAAGCATACTTGGTTTAAAGATAGTAATGGCACTAAACTCCCTGTGAAATTGTTCTTTCTGGCATGCTGTCATTTTGAAGAAAACAATAAAAGAAGGTTATGTCCGAAGATGCCTTTAAAGACGCATTCTTGGAAATTTCCATTAGTAGTTCGTTTTTAATTTAGCAAAGCCGTGAATGGGTGTGCACAAGTGTTGACACGACGCACACACGCGAGTGGTTGCTATAATTTGTCGGTTCAGTGCGTGACATCGCGTAGCTGCAATCGGCTGAATGAGAACGTATCCCGGCTGCTGATTTCAGGAGCAATTCAAAACATGACTTGGCAATTTTTGAATTGAAATCGAGATCCTAGAACAGTGTTTAGAATCAGGTTAGTTTGTTAAGCACCCTTCTTTAGATTTTCAGCACTTTTTTTGCTTCAAACGAAAAAAATGCAAAAATGATATATTCTACCTTTAAGCCAATTAGTAACCCCCTCCCTATAATACCCATCCTTTTCATCTAGCTCCACCCCCTACAGTTCATTAGTCTAGCCATGTACACTCACCATCAATCCTTCCCAAGTCTCAATGATTCCTTTCTTAAAAAAACCCTCAAAATCTCAAGGGGATGGGTTTTTTGTGCAAAAACATTTCTCTCAAACATCATGTTTAAGAATTAAAGCTATAGTCCATCATTTGCAGCTATCCGAAAAGTAACTGGCGTAATTATTGTTGAAAAACATACTTGGTTGAAAGATAGTAAGGGGACTAAACTCCCTGTGAAATTATTCTTTTTTAAGTCATTAGTCATTAGTGAAGGAATTAGTCATTTTGAAGTAATCAATGAAAGGAGGCCTTTCCAACGGTGCTTCTTAAGACGCACCGTAGGAAATTTAAATTAGTAGTTTGTTTTGTTATTCGGCGAAGAGCGCGCAAGCATTTGCAGGACACACACGCGCGCGGTTGCTATAATTCGTCGGATCAGTGCGCGACAGCGCGTAGCTGCAATCGGCTCAGTGAGAACGTGTCTCGGACGCTGAATTCAGGCCCAATTCAAAACATTCAGCAACTTTTGATTTGGAATTGAGATCCTAGAAGTAGAATGCTGTTTTTCTCGGAATATACAGCTGAAGCTGAGCTGAAACTTCATCAGGTTAGTTGTTCAGTACCCTTCTTCAGATTTTGAGCACTTTTGTTGCTTCAAACGAACAAAATGCACAAATTACAAATGATGGACTATATCTTTAAGACATGTAATTTCAGTGCATTCAAATGATGTCAATGAAATGTTAAGTTCATTTTCATTCTTAGTCATTTTTGTCATTTGTGAAGTACCAATTTTAAAATTGACCAGATAAGAAATATGATGGTTGCTTTATTTTTTTTTTTTTTTTGGTCTTCATTTCCTTTTTTTTTCCATTTGCGTTCTCACAAATCTTCATCTTGCTTCCCTTCCTCTGCTGCGTTTTGCCTAGTTGGAGGAAAAACAAAAAGAAGTAAGTACATTAGGAGAACTGATTCTTGATCAACCAACTTGGTTCTTTGTTCTCAAACGGTGTTGTGCATGTTGCATGTGTCACTTGTCAGAATCATTAGGGGGTAATAGTTTACAGAGCTGGCACCAATTTGGGCGATTCACAATGCAGTGCGCCACCAAGAGTTTGCCACGGTGAGTTCATTTTTCCCAGTGCATTGTGGGAGATGGTCAACAAATCCGCAGCATGGAACATTTGAAATAGATAGTTTTCCCGGTCAGTAGTTTCTTTAGCGTATTATTCGAGGATCTGTTTGCTCTTTTCTTTGTATCAATATGGTTTTTTGTAAGGCGGCAGAACGCTATACCCTAATCAATAACAAATTAGCTCAAGTTGTCTACTGACAATCATTCAAATGGGCCATGTTTTGTCGACCGTAAACTTAAATAATTGACTCTCTATGGCAAACTCTTGGTGGCGCTCTGCATTGTGTCTTTGCTGCTCAGGTAAAGTGGCTGTGAGATTTCTATTACAGGCAAAGTGCAACATGCGCGCGTGTTTTACACACTGCGCACACAGGCACCTGATGGCATTGAACACGCACTTGTAATTTTCCTACAAAGATGGCGTCCTATTGAGAGATCTATACAAGCCTCCATACATGCATGTGCGCAGACTTGAGCATGTCTACACTTTGAACTATTGTAAGGGTAGCATGTTTTTGGCTCTACAACTCTGATAACCAGTTGTTTCATGTACAAACCAACCACAGTGGCTTTGTACAATGTAGCTTTGTGTTCACTGATGGCAGCTCTGTAAACTTAGCCCTGCTCATAAACTGTTCCGTTCATGCCACCATCTTGACCTAATTTCATTTTGCAGCAAAGCATTGTTGGTACAGTCTGCATGACTGCTTCACATTGTGTTCCCATTTGTATGTAACTGTCCCACGCTGCTTTGTGGCACATGGGAATGCTGGCCAAGATAGAATTACAAACCAACCAGCTTATGAGTTAGTTGGCCATGATGGTTTCACAATATTTGGTGGTGTCATTTCTCTTCCTGGGTTTATTAAATACGATCACCCACACTTTTCCAAGTTATACCACCATTGAAGTTTTTGTGAGGTGTAAATCTTAACACAGACAAAAATCCAATTTGTATGATGCAAACTGATCGTTCTCCAGAGTTTGCTTGTGTTATCCTTATCAGTCCTGTACCCGATATATTCTTAATAATGTGGTGCTTATATATCGCTTTTTATCAAAGGTCTCAAAGCACTTGGCAATTATTACCCCTGTTCAACAGGCCTTGAGACCAGTTTTTTGCAGCAGCTCTAGATCAGCACATTCTGGTCTCTACTCTCACAGGTACCCATTTATACTCCTGGGTGGAGAGAAGCAATTGTAATAAAGTGTCTTGCCCAAGAACACAAGCACCATGCTTCCCGTCAGGGTTCTAACCCACGTACCACGGCACATGAGTCAAACACCGTAACCATTGGACCACAGGGCTCCACATTCCTGGCACATACATGTATATGAATATGCTAGGGCAGGATGGTAGGGTATTGAAAAGTATATGGCATCAAAAGTGTAGTACTGAAAAGATTAGAGAATTCTTCATGAATTTCCAGATTACAAACCTCCAATAATTCTAACTTCCATCCATTTCAGACTGGCGTTCCAGAGTCACGCTGGACTCAATTATTATTGCGCTCGACCTTTTCGATGCTTTAATGCTTTGGTTTACTTTACCTCAAAAACACAAAGATATTTTCTGTTTAGCAGAAAGTTATACTTTTTAGAGTGAGGTTCATCCAGAAGCCCAGGGTGACAATGGAGTCACTCTTAATGCTATGTGATACAGCGTGACTCTTGAATGTTTGTCTGATCCAGGTGTTAAATTCATGGGATCATGGGATACCTATACAACTTGCCTAGCCTCATTGTAAGAAAAATGAGGGCCGATAACAATATCAAAACAACGGTGTGTCTTGAATTTGCATACTGTAGTTTGTTTGTATCCAAAAGTTGCTTTGGATATACCCTGATATCGCCCCACAGATGTTGTTGCTGCAATGGGTGTTGCATGGCTGGTACTTCAAATTGCATGGCTTTATTTATTTGCAAGACTAAAGTCTATTGAAAGCATGTTTATCCACACACTTTGTGAAAGGTTCATTTTGATTGTCATTTATTGAGTTTTATGTCCCACATTGTTTTATTTGCCAAGAGGATAATGCATTAAATACAAACATGAGGAATTAAACCAGTTCCCATTCTTTTTTTCTACCAGAAACATACATGTATATGTTTGTTTTTTTAACAACATGTAGATTTTCTTCTTACATTGTAATTTTATTGTTAAGATTTTATGCATGTGAAGAATTTCGGTGGTCGAGCTGAAATGCAAAACCAAATATCCCAAATGTTAAGCCCATCTGCATGGTACATTGTTATATTAAAAAATTTAACAATAGTTTCATTATTTGTTTGGAAACTTGATTTTGAAAGTAATATTGGTAATTTGATTATAACAACACAGCTTAAGTCACATTTTTAAGCATGGTGGATTGACTATCATAACAGATCATGCTTGCATGTTACTTTGGCACTAGTCTCACCCATACTAACAAACTACAGTGAAGTTAAACTGGTTACATTTATTATCATTTTAACTAACAAGTTTGTGTACAGCTTTGGTGGGATGCTGGTGGGATGCAATTTCATGAGCAGGGATCTTGTGATGAGACAGCTGGAGTTATAAGTAGGAGTTCTTTGGCTGGCATAAAGCACTCAGCGTGTATGATAATAACGGGAAAGAGTCTTGTTCATGAAGCCTTTTCTCTTCACGTAACCCCTGTGTAAAAAGTTTGAATGGAATTTCTTTTCATTTGTATCTTTTAACCAAGCTTGAAGAAACTATCAATCAGGTCAACAACAGAATGAAAGTCGCTGCGTCGGAGAAGGATGAGATCAACACTAAACTGCAGAATACCATGCAGGGTAAGGACACTGACAAGCACAGCAGTGATAAGGACAGGGATAAGGACTAACACTGTGTCAATTATGGATGTAGATACTGATATACATTAAATTGGAGTCCACATATTCTTATACACGTCTGATTTCGGGTTTTGTAAGCTTAATTAACCCTGTTATGCAAACATACATTCTGTGCCAAGTAGTCATTTCAGTCAAAATCTCTCAAGTGACTGTTTTTAACAATTAAGAATTCCCAGCCTACATAAAACAGGATTGACTGGCGGTGACTGTTTATGTAACTCATACAGCTTTGCTTTGGCTGTGGGTGATTGATAAGCCAGCTGTGCCCACAAGTTGCCTGCTTTGTCTGTTCATGGTCTGTTGACTGAGTTTGGCTAGTCACAGTGCTTGCTGGACATATGATCTGACTGCTGGTGACTAGCCTGTATTAAAAGAATGGCAGGGGAAGTGGATGGAAATGTTTACTGTCTGTGACTGTTTAAATAGCAGAAGTGTTAAACCCTAGTGTTTAATGGTCACTAATGTGGATAGCCTCCAATTTTCAAGCAGGTCGTTATTGTTACGAGTTGTAATCAAGACATTACAAATCATCAAATGTCAATAACTATATAACAAATCACGTAGTCTCAAGCCAAGTGGCATCCTATTCAGATAAACTTAAGCCTTTTTCACACTAGACAAATCTCGGGGTCGATGCAGGGTTGAAAACATGCATCATTTCACACTTAAAGAATTTCAACCCTTCGTTGACCCTGCGTCAACCCCGAGATTGATTTCGCCCCGGGTTGAACTCAACCCTACTCCAGACCAGGGTTGAGATTTTCAACCCGGTTCAAAACAGTAGTAACTGAGCATGATAAGCTTGATTTGCATGAAACAAGTGTGAAACAATGCAGGGTTGAATGCGGGGTTCAAAAATAAAAAACTCAACTCAGGCGGCACTGGGTTCGCCCAGGGTTGAGTTCAATCCAGGTTGAGAGGCTCTAGTGTGAAAAGGGCTTTTGATAACTATTCTTTTGTCAGTGTTAATCATGTTTTATATGTACATGTGACCAACCATGTGATCTGACTAGTGAGCTTTGGATTGCCTTGTGATTGACTCAATTACTTGACGGTATATTTTGTCCATCAGAGCTGGAACATCTGCAGACAGATAATGCCAACATCGCTCACGTGAAGGAGCTGCATAAAAAGCAATTAGACACCGAGAAACTCAAGACACAAGCAGTAAGTATAGTCAAGATCTTTAGTCACCTTAAGTCTCACACCAGATTTCATGTCACATAGTTTCTAATAGTCTGCAGGCATGCAACTTTTCCACGGATCCGCTGATTTCCTCGTTTTTAACTTCTCATGAATGCCATTACAAAATTGAAAAATACAGTACAGTCTTGTGGGGTTAGGAGTTTCCTCATTTTTTTCTAAATTCCCAGTTGCATGCCTGAGTCTTGAGTTGGGTTCGGAGTTAATTCATTCAAGTGAAAGTTTCAGTCCTAAGTTATTCAATTTGAGTAAAGATCAAAGTCTGATTAAAATCACTTGCAGAACTTGAAAATGATTGCCTGTGATACTAGGAGTCAATGCACGTTAATATTAAATGTGTGTAAACTTAGAGCTACCGGGTACCAAAATGTGTCTAACAGACTTTTTTCCACGTACATTTCCCATATGGAGTTAAAGGAGCTTACTGTTGTTTTCTTGTTAAATAAATTATCGTATATATATCACTCAGTTTGACATCTGAATAAATGCAGATATTATGTGAGCCAAACTGTTAACTGTTTGTATTGATTTCTACTGTAAAAGAGAAATAAGCCTCATACCAAGGCTCCCACAACAATGGGAAAAAACCTTGAAAAATCCTGGAATTTAAAGCTGTCATGGAAAAGTCATGGCATTTTGTTGTTTTACAAGGACTCATTGAAAGTTGATATTCCTAGAAACAAGTCATGGTAAGGTATGGAATCCTAATACTTGGTGACGCATACTATTTGGCCATGACAGTCTTGCAGTGTGCATTCCAGTTCACATTACTTCCTCTTGTATGCACATAGACTCTATACTTGTAGCATGTTCAATGTACCATTTTGATGCATTGTGGTGCTCAGGGGTCTTGTGTAAACCGGAAAGCTGAAAAGGAGTTGTGTCCCTTGCCTCAGTGTGGTGACTGACGGTATTGTGGATAGGCTCCTCAGATGCAAAAACAGTGTAGGAATTGGTCATGAAATGCTCTAATTTTAAGATTTCTGTGAGATCGACTACTCAAAAGTGGCAGTGGTAATGAGTTACTCATTTTGTAGGGTTGGGTCACAATTATGATAAATACAATCAAACTGAATGATGTTAGTTTATCATTGTTAAGCTAGGTTCATGTGCGACGCGAAATTCATGTCGTCCAGAATGGTGGACGCGCTTCGAACGTATTGTTGACGTCACGAATTTCGCTTCGCTTTCGCGTGAAGTATGAAGTAGGCTTCATGCAGTTGTCTTAATAGCAAGTTAATTGTGTTGTTTCAGGCTGTGAACAAGTTGGCTGAGGTGATGAATCGACGGCCCATGAGCCAACGAGGCAACAAGGCTAGCTCCTCAGACCTGAAGAGGAAGGAGAAGGAATGCCGTAAATTGGAACAACAACTAAACGAGGAGAAAAGGAAAGGCATCCAACTGGAGGCTAAGCACTCCAGGGACTACTCGGAAGTGCAATCAGTAAGATCAGACCTTTTTCTGCCTTCTTCTCACACCTATGGTCTCTTTAGAAAAAAAAATTGCAATGCGTATATAGCACTTTCTATCGTATCTACAATCTCAAAGCGCTTTACAATTATTGCCAGTTCATCAGGCCACGAGACCACGCAGCAGCTGATATCGGTGCACATTCGGCCTCTACCCTCACAGGTACCCTTCATACTCTTGGGTGGAGAGAGGCAATTGTAGTTAAGTATCTTGCCCAAGGGCACAAGCACCATGGTCCTGGCAGGGTTCGAACCCACATGTACCATCGCACACGAGTCAAACACTGTAACCACTTGGCCATGGCAATCTACTCTAGCATCCATCGGCCATCTACTCAATGAACAGTAGAGTGTGATTATTGACCACTGATCTCTTTATACTGACTGGATAGCATACAAAGAACTGCAGAAGGAAGTCATTTGAAGCCATAGTAGGGGGAAGCGTCTGAATTCTCTAAAGGACAATTTGCCGCCTTAGATATGTTCTCAACAGTTGTGATTCCCTTTTGTAACATTGTGGTTCACCTTTTGTCTGCCATGGTTTACAGTGCTTCATACATCTTGGTTCACTTTTTGAATATCGCAGTTTACTTTTGCGTCGTTTGTATAATCATGGTGGAAAATTATCCTTTTCATAATATGTGTACGTGAACAAAAAATGCCAAATCGCAGTATGTGTATCGTATATCGTATCGTATATCGGCAGCCATATTTGGAAGACTGGGGGCGAACTGGTAAAAAAGCAACATAAGTTAATGTACTGCGTAATGGGCATACGCTATCCAGTCAGTATTTAAAGATCAGTGTTCACGACCACTAAGGAGAGTTTTCTAGGGAGGCCACACCACTTAGGTGCACTTGTTTGTGCATGTATTTTTTAATTTGTATTTATTTATTTCTTTCTGGTAATGAAACCAAGGATTCCTCAAAAGTGTCCTAGACACTGTAGCTCGCAAGCCTGCAGAAACCTGTTGAGAGGAGTCAGTGAGAAGAAATTACAGTTCAAGAGGTGGGAGGAAAATCCCAGAATAATATTTTGGGAAAACCCACAGAATCAGGTAGGGAATGATAACCAATGAATGGACCAGGACAGGAATCGAACCCGGGCCACAGCGGTGGAAGGCGAGGACAATAACCACTGCACCAATCTGACTCCCCTGAGAAACGTTTGTAAAAAAACGTATATAAGACAATTGCAAGTACACACCTTACTTGGGAGTTGTCATCGAGTCAATCACAAGTCAGAACACAAACAGAAGAAATAACAGAGAAAGAAATAATATGTGAATTGCTTGTCTCCTAATACCTGAGACTAAATTAACAATTACTGACTTGTGATAACCGGTCATGACTTGATTACAACTTTGACAGCATCAAGAAATAGACTCGTCACTGTCACTTGTCTCTTTACTCCACCCCTCTCTCCGCCTCTCCTGCAGGGCTACAATGAAGAGTACCAGAAGCGATGCCAACTGCAGATGGAGCTAGACAGTCGAGACTCTGAGCTGGAGCAGCTGCAGCACCGGCTGCGAACCCTGCAGCAACAGCAGAATGTGGACAATCTGAGTATCAACAGCTCCGGTGATGCAGAGAGTGAGGATGGTAGGGGTAGCCTAGGCCAATTTGACCCACAAATCCAAATCCTGCATCTCATCTGTTGAGATTGTGGTGATGCTACATCCACTCATCTGAAACCTGCATGCTGATGATTCTGTTGCAGTGCTCTGTCTGATCTACTCATTTGTAGTTTGGTTTTTGCTTGTTTGATTTGGAGTGTCGGTATTGTATGATTTGCTTTTTCTGCTTCCCACATCCCTGAAGGCACATCCATATTTCATATGAGCATAGGTTGGAGAGCTCATCCCTTGTTCAAAAGTTCAATGTGAAATTTAAGATTAAAAGTAGATACTTCTGTCCAGATGTGTCTGCTTTTTAAGCTCTGGCAGGCGCTTGTATATGTCACTTTGTGGTCGGTCAGTCTGTCTTTCCCTGGAAAATTGACCAAAAACGAGCCCCCTAAGTTGCCCATAAAATATAACTACCAAATTTTAGTTTTCAAAAAGAAACAAAGAAAGTACATTAAATACTTCACAAAACTTGTTTGTAACAATTCGTAAAGTTGTTAATGAAAATTTGGGAAATGGAGGCAAAATATGTGCAGTAATGTTATAGTCACGTGGTATACACTATAGCGTGCTTTATACAACACCTGAATAAATCCCTGTCATCTGATTGGTGGATCGTTGATCACATGTCATTGAATTATTCGTACCAGCGCACGTGGCGCGCAGCGCACAGTTCCATGGAAGTTCTATTGCACTGTGAATAGAACTTCCATTTCACGGTGTCACTGCTACCGGTGGTGTCGCTGTTTTAAATCGAGATAAATTAAATATATGATTGTTCTCAATCTGTGGAACAGTTTGCATTAATATAAATATGATGAACTTGTCGAACTTTTAAACAGTTTTTAACCTGAATAAATTGGCAATTAAAAGTTAACCAATCAGATGACAAGGATTTATTCAGGTGTTATATAAAACAAATAATGAATGTTTTACGTTCGTGCAATGGAAAGAATAATTTCATTCGGTGACAGATGAAATGTTCCATTCCACTCGGCTTCGCCTCGTGGAATGGAACATTTCATCTGTCACCTCATGAATTTATTATTACCATTGCACTCACAAACATTCATTGTTTGTATAATATACCATGCTATATAGCACGCTCTATTTTATGGGAAACTTAGGGGGCTTATTTTGGTCAATTTTCGAGGACAGACTAGCGCAATAGCACAGCGTGATTTTCGCGTGGGATGGCGGCCCGGGCTTGTACGCACAATCAATTCATGCAAGACTTTCATGCAAGACAGCCAGAGCATATTGTGCACTCGCACTTGTTATCACTTGTCTCGCATGAAGTTTGGAAAAGCCTTTTGAATAGAAATCTCAGTTCCATATTTAAGTTTTCATGCGCCATTTATTTTTGAAAGCTCTGTTGTAAGATTAGTTAAAATAGTAGGTTGTAGCTTCCCTTTGTTATTCAGCTGTCTCAAAGATTTTTCAGTTTACAAAATGTTACCATTCCTTTCATCGAACTCCTTATATGTTTGTTTTTCTTTGATAACTTTTTTGAATCCACCAAAATGCAGCATTGTGCAGCAACCGTGGTAATAATTATAATAACAATATAGAGCATTTATAATGTGCCAGATCCACCTTGATTAGATGCTCAAGGCACAGAGAAACAAAACAAATACAACAAAAATGGGAGGGAACAATGAGGTACACACAAATGGAAATAGCATGAATATGAAACAGCAATACAACATGAGAATCAAATCAAATTGGACGAGCTAATGAAATGCTATTTGAAATAGAGTACCAAAGTGTGAAGGCATTTAGAACCGGGAAGTGTAGTGCAAACGAATGGAGTACACGCACGTGTTGGTTCATGGGCTGAATTACGCGCTGTCTTTTACACACATAATTGTGCCCATGATGTATTCTCTTCGGTACCCTATAGGTGGGTCTTCAGAGCACATTTAAACTCTTGGGAGGTAGCAATTTCACAAATATTTTGAGGAAGTTTGTTTCCCAATGACAAGGCAGTTTAGTAACCTAATGACAGATCAAGCCGCATCAAATATAATGGTGTCATGAATCCATCAACATCAATCAAAACTAGATGATGGATTTTGGTGGATTTGAGATGGTTAGGATTGGCTTCAAAAGCAATTCCTCTTGCCATAGTTCAAAGCATGTTTGCTGTGGATCTGTCTCACAGATCTGATTCACATTACTTTTGAACTTTCTGTAAAACTAAGAATTACTGATGCCCTTTTGCCCCATTGCTTGATTCAGCATAATTTATCAATTGGAAGGGCAATGGTATAGGAGTAGTAGCTCAGTTGGCAGTAGGGTGTAACAATTTATCGATGAATCAATACAAAATGTGAAGAACCTTTAAAAAAATTGCTAACCATTTAATGGTACACCAGCAAAATGAACTCTGGGAATAAAATAAGTAGCTGTGCCTATTTCCCACATTTGCAAACATCTGAAAAATGAAACCCAAAGCACTTGCACATTATGGACAATTATGAATAAATACAACCAATACTTGCACGTTAAACTGCCTATACAGACTTAACTTGAATATATTGTGGTACGTATCATGTTATGTCCTTAGTATAGTGATACGTGTATCTTGAAATAGTGGTATCATTGCATGCAACCCCCTCCCCCAGTTGGAAATGAGCCTATTGTTTTGTCCCAATCCAAGTTGATTACCTATCTCTTGACCCCCAGGAGGACGTCTGGAAGGTTGGTTGCAGGTCCCTAGCAAGAACATCAAGCGTCATGGCTGGAAGAAGAAATACGTGGAGGTCAGTTCCAAGAAGGTGCTGTTCTATGAGACAGAAGAGGAGAAGAATTTCAAGAAGCCCTACCTGGTACTGGATATCGAGTAAGTCACGCCTTGAACCCTAAGCAGTTGACTAGATGAACCTTAACTCCCTCTGAACCTCCCAGAATACTCCACTGTGTAGGACACCAGTTGTGGATTCGTTGACTTACAAGGAACATCAATGGCCAGTTGATACTCCAGCTGAATGTGAATGTCATATAGTTAACATTCATAAATACCTAAGACAGTTTACCCATTCCTATTGGTCGAGAGCCCATCGCGTGGCCGGTCTTAAACAGATGATTAAGACATGGCTAGCTGGTCTTAAACACTTTTCCAGTGTCACATGAAATTTGGACTCCTAAAAATCCAGTGCCTCTTGCCGTTTAATTGGTTGAACATTCACAATCCTCACGTAGGCATGCGCAATACTACCAGTGAGTCAGAATTGTATAGTCCTAAATTCACAACGCATCGCCCTAGGTGCATTCTGCTCGACATCACGCAGTACGCACGACGCGCGCGCCAATCTCCATAAGAGGAGTTGCTTAAACCGTACTCACCAGCTAGACACTCCATTATTTAGCAAGAGGGGTGTTTAAAAAAACAGCCTCCGGCTCGGGTAATTATCAGCACCCAGACTCCAAGCAGTCTTAAACAGAGTGATTAAAACCTCCCGAGCACACATTTATTCCCTTAGTACAAAACGTTGGCTGAGAAATTGCTGCAGTTGTTGAAATGTGTTTAAACTTTTGCACATTCATTGCATAAATACCGGTACTTGCCTTGACATCAAAACTTCGGTGGTGTTTAAAACGATGATACAAGAAAACAGAAAAATACATAAACAGATAATAACAAATCAACTTTTGGGAATTAACTTGCTGAAACGTCATATTTAGGCTGTTGCAAAAGAAGTCTGTTTGTTCATTTTTTTTAAGTCGTTGTCAAGTAGTTGGCCTAACACTACCTCCGTTCAGTCGTGCTTGCTATCATGGGCCCAGTGTATACTGGCTCCCCGTCCTTTTCTATTAATGTTATGGCTGTTATCTTCAAGTGGTGGGAAGGAACTTTTAAGAGTGGTATTTTGTTGTTCAAATGTGGTTATCAAATAATTTGGGTAGTAGATAAACTAGACAATATAAATGCATTTTCAAGGAATTCAGAAATGTGTAGTATTTTTGAAGCCAAACGGGATGGATGTTTGGTAAAGCTGAATGTTCAGTATAGAGGGGTTTCTTATTGCGACGTTCTACTGTACTAGTGAGTTTACATATGACATGTTAGGAACTAGACTACAATGCTGCAAATTTCCCAGCTTGTGGCAAGTTGATTTAGCCGTGGCCTGTTGTAATCAACCTTTTTGGGCGTTCCTTCCAGTAAACTCTACCATGTGCGTGCAGTGACGCAAGGTGACATCATCCGAGCCCCAGCCCAAGACATTCCACGCATATTCCAAGTCCTGTATGCCGGTGAAGGGGAAAGCCGGAGAGCTGACGAACCACCAATTGAAGCCAACAATGAGGTAGGTTGACAAGCAGATGCACAGACATGGACTCTGAATGTGAGTAAACTAGGGTGTTTGTCATGATGTCCAAGGCAATTCCAGCAGCTGAGAGTTTGAATACTCGCCATGGTTAACCAGAGTTGAACTGACTTCACTCACACACTTGCTCGTAAGCTAGAGTTGGACTAGTCTAGTTGACTATTTAGTATCAGCTTATAGACCTCTCTCATAGACGGCCATCTTCGTAGGAACATTACAACTGCGTGTTCAACTAAATTAAGCTTTAATTTGATGGATGTCTCAAACACTTTGGAGAGTTGCGAGTATTTTTAATAATTTTTGGAAGTAGGCGTAATTATCATTGAGGTCTATGGAAGTCGATTTGCAGGTCTGCACTCATGAAGGTGGGGCTAATTACCATATTGGCTCCTTGTGCAAACAATGAGGGCGCTATTAGGTCTGCTCCAGACAACCAATGGATGATATCTTCCTGTCTGTTTGAGTTCATTTTCTTTGTTTCTAACCTACAGAATAACAGTGACATCATCAAGTACAAGAACCACAATTTTGACATTGTGCACTTCCACATGCCAACTCAGTGTGAATTTTGTTTGAAGCAACTGAGTAGTGTAATCAAGGCCCCTGCAGCTCTGGAATGCAAATGTGAGTCAAACCAACTCCTTGAAGTGTTTTCCCAGTTCATTTAGTTTTGTCACTAAACACTAAACTCCCAAGGCTATTGTTGGCTTTGAATGTTGCTGAATCTTCACAGAGCTACAAATGTAATAGGAATCCAATGGTTGATCATTATACAAATATAACGTGGTCTGAGGGTGGACAGTCGATATTAGCTCCCCTCGGTGTTGGAGGTTGACAAAATAGTCAACTTCCATTACCGAGGGGAGCTAATATTTGTCCACCCGAAATAAACCATGTTATATTTGTTTTACTATACCCCATACATATTCAGCTGCCAATATTTTTGTCGTTGCAGTATGCACCTAAAACAAAATCTTGTCCAGCTCACCAAAAGTATCTTATTGCTCAGGCTTCACTAGTTCAGTTCATTTGCAATACAAAAACTACAGTTTTAAATACAGTAGTTTGAGTACAACTTTCTTTTGTACAGGAGGCATCTTTATTGCCCATAAATAGTCTCCAGTTCGGCATCATTGAGCTCGGGGAAATTAACATCTACACGTACCGTACAACCATCTCTTCGTGTGTAGCTCGTTTGGGCGATGTTCGCACGTGCGTACTACAGCCGTGCGACAGTTCCACGAGTGCTTTGTGAAGCCCATTGCTTTGTAGTAGACTGTCGCATGGGTAACCCAATCTACTACGCATGCGCATTTATCCTGTGCTTGAAATCCTCGTGCGCGCACTTGGTAAACAGCAAAATTAATATCTGGCATGCGATGGTGAATTGACCAGTGAGAGTTCGGCTCTCGATCAGGAATATGTATGAGGTGTAGTAAATATACTCTTTTGATTTTCAAGGGGCACCAGTCTCATATAAAGAAAAACATTCCTGGGCTCCGAATTTGTAACCAACAACAGCAGTATAATGCTTATAAAAACATTGAAGTAATCATAACATTCTCTGCTGCAGTTGTGCTTGTCCACAAGAAGTATTTACATCAAGCAAGTTATGCATAAGGCTTACATTGTTGTGAAATGACGGTTCTACTGATGTTCATACCGACTTCGCTGTTTACTGATTGACTTGTTCCGTTCTCCTTGCAGTATGTCACATGAAATTTCACAAGGAGCATTTTGACAAAGGCGAGGAGTTTTGTGCACCATGCAAAGGTGAGAGCAGATGAATGACAAGTCCAACTTGAAGTTACAGGAAAAAAAATTACCTTGCTAAGTAAAATTTGTCATGGCAAAAATCACCTAGTTTAAAAAAGATATATGTGTCCTCAGTATTATTTTCAGACCCCATTGGACTTGAATTTGCTGAATTTGACACATGGTGCAAAAAGAACTGTTTAGTTTTAGAGATGGGAGGAAACTAAGCATATAAAGATATTGGGAACTAGCAGAATCCAGAACTGAATAAAAAACAGACAAACCACATGATGACCCGGGTTTACAGCCCACCCAAGTAAAAATGTGGATTGGGTTTAATAATAATAATACCGGAGTCTTATATAGTGCACGTATCTACCAACAATTAGGTACCCAAGGTGCTGGAAATTATGTCTATTATTAAAGACAGGTAAATGAAGTCTATGAGAAATATGAGACCCTTTATGTAGCACCTTATAAGGGTTTACAAGGTGCTGTGGTGCATATTGCAGCCACTGCTAGAAACACCGGGGCAAACCCCTTCTCTTAGCGATAAGTGTTACTGGGTTCTTTAACGTGCATTACACAACACACGGGACCTACGGCTTTACGTCCCATCCGAAGGACGAAGCAATAATGGTAAAGTGCCTTGCTCAAGAGCACAAGCACCACGTTCCCAAAGTCAGGATTCGAACCCATGTGCCACGGCACACGAGTCGAACACCATAACCATTGGACCACAGCACCCCAGTTTCGTATTGGGTACCTGATTTCGTGGATATTTTTAAATTATGAAGGTCCCCCCCCACATCTCAAATGCTGAACGGAACTTATTGTCCTCTCTTTGCAAAGTTCTTCAGGCATTTGAGCTACTGTGCCGTTAGTGCTTCTGGATTTTCTGATTAATGACTGGAACTTAAAATAACAACACTAACAATGAAGCATTGTATGATGTGTGTTTTTGTAGTGAATATTGACCTGGACGTGGCCAAGAATATGCTACTGATGACCGGCTCATCTGAGGAGCAGCAGCGATGGATCAGTCGGCTGGGCAGGCAGATTGCCAGTGTTCGCGGTTCCACCATCCCACGGTCATCCTCACAGAGCTCACCCAAGTAAGGACCGGTTCTATACTCAGCATGAACACACACTCTTGTTTTACTATACTCTTGAGGACAATGCTTTGTGTTTCCCTTTGTCCCTGTAATGTAATACTCTCCCATAGACTCAGCACACAGACAAGTGTGTATTTGCCTGCAAATGGGAACCCCCTATTGTCCCTCTTTTGTTGGTACTCTTAAATTTTTAGGAAGATCTCCCATATGTTTTGTACACGATTCTAAATTTGGGACCTTCTGGAATTGGGGACCCTATTGTCCTCTATTGATCAACGTCCCCTATTGAATACACAAACAAACTCCAACTTACTACAGAGGACTGTTTCCAACAAAAGCCCAACTCCCGAGGACTGAAAGGATCTGTTGTTCTCCCTTTGTGTGTCGGTCCTTGGGGGTTATGTAGAACACGTACGCATATATGTACACACATTTGTCATGTCCCATCAAGTTATGGAGCTGCAACTTCAGTGAATTTGCTGCAAACGTTTTACGTCAAATACGCATTGCATTTGCATTTATTTGAAGTTCGAGCCAGCCTCAAATGACTAGTCAGACCCGCTCGGTATAAGCGATTCATATATGTATAGTGCACCACAAGGCCATTGTTCACAGCTCATCATGGCAAAAAAACACGACCTGTGTGTAGCTGTTTCAAATGGCATTCATTTCTTTTGTGCACTAGGCAACAAAGAATCCGCAGCATGATTGTATATTTTTAAATCACTACTATTCAGCTTTGTGCATGGACGATACTTGAACATACATGTATGGTTATCAATAAACTGGCTCTTGTCTCACCACAAAAAGGACACAAAATTGCCAGTTTCTTCCAGTGTTGTAGGTCTTGAGAGGCCGGTCTCGAGTCCACGTTTTGCTGGTCTCGGTCTCGGTCTCAGGAGCTGTGGTCTCGGTCTTGGTCTCGGTTCCCTTTGGTCTCGATATTTTGGCTGGTCTCGAGTTGAGACCAGCAATATGTAGCATTTACAGCTTGATCAATTACTTTGTGTTCACTTTGTTCAGTACCAATAGTCTCAAACCATATCGGTCTCGGTCTCGGAGGGGCTGGTCTCGGCCTTGAAGGGGCTGGTCTCAGTCTCGGTCTCGGTCTCGAAACTTCAGGTCTCGGTCTTGGTCTCAGTCTCGGACTATCCGGTCTTGACTACAACACTGGTGTCTCCATGAGGCAACAATTTCAAGCATTTCAACTGCATAGGTTTAAATACTGAACAGTAGTGCTCCTCTCTTTATTGATAGTTCCCAGAAACACTTTCGCATTCAGCAAAAATCGAAGTTCATCAACACAGACATTGCACATACGTGGCCTATTGCCATTTGGCAATAGGCTGGTTCCGCGCGAACATTACCATTGTGATTTTGAATTCAGGAGACGGGATTCAGACCTATGCACATCCTGCATATAATTTGCATACATTAGGAGGAAAGTCTCCAGTTTAGACTTTTAGCTGATTGGCTCATTTTGATTTTAATTTAGAAAAGTCTTGGACAGTAATGTTGAACAAATCAATAGTATCAATTTTTCTTTTTTCATTTGAAAGTGATTTTTGTCTATGGTTTTCTCAGTAGGTCAAATTACCAGCAGTCCATCCGACGAAGCAGTGGTCCAGTTCGTCAATCCTCAACGGGATCCAACTCCAAGAGGTAGCCGTATGCTTAGCTCCAAATAGCCAACTAAATAGCAAACTCTGTTTCATGGGTTCAGTTCAAGACAAAGAAAATATTCATGAGCGTCAGTGGTGGTTACTTAGGGGGAAGAGGTCATCTAACCCTCCTATACTTATAACTGTCGCAAACTGTCAAAAAACCTAACCCCTACCTCTCTCGGTAGCTTTTGTACAGGCTGGCCATCAACTACCAGTAACCCCTATGGATCACATGGTATAACTGTCGGAGCCTGTGTAAGTGGTTTGATTGATAGGTTGCCCATTAATACTGCTACAGCTTGTGTAGCAGCCATTTTAACCTGTCAATTGTACCAACATAAAGCCAGTTTACAGACCTGTTCAAAACTGTAACCTGTTAGATGTGGACCCATAGGGTTACTCACTACAGATTGTCACTGAGAGAGGGAGGGTTCTAATGGAGTAAACACATCATTGCGTTCATTTTGAAAGAACCAGAAATAAACTCTAAAACCAATTGTTTTCACCCCTCAATTTTCCCAACGTGTGTCTTTCTGTGTAAAAAAAAGGAGATTCAATCACTCAGGCCCACCAAACAGATTTTTTTTAATGATGTGGCAGTGACAAAGTTCATTTTGGCAGACGTTTTTCTACGTGTAGTGAAAATTTGTATAAATAACAATTACATGTATCATTCAGTATATATTTTGAAGTTTTCTGTGTTTTTCTGAAAAGATTTCTATATTAACTTAGGGCAGGAATATATATATATTGCAGTGGAATGGAAGGGTGTACTTGTGTACGACAAATTCAGTCGTAAATGTCAACAGCTCAGATGTAGTCATTAGACAGTGATTGGGAAGTTTTTAGATGGCCAAAAATTTAAAACAGTTGAGTTTTTTAGAGTTGGTAATTATTCGTAGGATCTTTATTGTAGTCCATTAATTTATGACTGACCTTTACTTTGGCAATAATCTGTGAATCAAATACCAATAAAAAAAGTTAATATGTAACAATTATTGACTGCTGTGATGTGGGATATGACGTTTTTAACACCGAGGGGAGCATAGCACCCGAGACGAATATGCGCCCAGAGGTGTTAATAATGACATATTCCACATCATAGTAGTAAACAATTGTTTTGTTATATCGTGCCAATAAGTCAAAACGATCAATGGTTGTAACTTACTATGCAAGACATAAATGAAGTCAGTGTGGTGTAACCCTTGATAACAGCAGGCTTTCCTGCCCAACATGAGACTGAGCGGTTGCGTATTGCATACAGTTCTCAGTCGGGAGCGCGTATGCAGGCTCTACACATGCGCGTGCAATGTGCATGGTATATGAGGTTTACCATTGTATATGCGTTTGTACAGACTGGACACGTGGCCGTTCTCGACCAATGAAATTAAAGTTTCCAAGCACACGATATAACAATTACAAATAGCCGTAAGTGAAAGGAAATCATGTTTGGTTTCAGCTTCTTTTTTAAAATTTAATTACAAGCCAACAATACACAATAAATATACAAATATGTATCATTAGTTTTGGGATATCAACTTTCAGTCATGAAGAATTAGTTCCCTTTCGGTGGTGTTTTTTCCCCCTTTATTTGTGGCATAAAGAAATTCTAAAGATTTTGTTACATTACATAATCCTAAGGTATGCATCAGCAGAGCATGTAGCGTAGTTTGCACCATATTTTATCATTGGCATCTGCTTGGAAAAGTTTTTGTTCTTCCATTTTGCAAAGATCTTTCATAAAGGGATAAAATGAAAGGTGTAAATGACAGACACCTGTCCATACTTGTAGAATATCAACAACATGAAACCGGGGCACAAGAAGACTTTTTGGAAGGTTATTTGAATCTAAACTCTACATTGTTTTTGAATGGTCTGTATGCTTTGCATCGCAAGCTTATTGTACTCGTTGTGTTCACCTGTATATACATTGTATCATAATGTAATAATGACAGTACTCACATAAAAGAACATTTGTTTCTCACTTGGATAATGTGATTTATTAATTATGAGACAAAAGGTTTTGTACTCCAGATAAGCTTTACTAATAATTTGTATATAAAAATTTGATTGTTAATGAAAATAGTTAATATACGTGTAACTTACAGTCATTAGGGTGTCTTCAAATTCAAGCAATTCTTCAACTTATAAGGTTGAAATTCCTTTATAAGGGGACTTCTGCAAAACCTAATATTGATGGGACTTCAATATTTGTATTTGGCAATGCATCTGTGTGTCATTGTATTCAGATATTTATGCTTGGCAGGTCCTGGTAATGCATAAGATAATAGCATCCTGATTAATTTGGCCAGATTGCACCAAGTGGGTTGAGAGGCAGCAAAGCATGGCCTCTAGTAAAAACCAGGCTTCAGCTTTGCTATTTCGTGGCTATGAACGGCCCAATCAGATAATCGGGGAATTCCAGGTAACAGAACTCGGAAATGTATAAAAAGGTAAAAGGTTGCGTTTTGTTATTCAGTTGGGTATTCCACCTAATTTCTTTGACTACATGTAACATCCTTCACAATAATGAAACATATCAGGAAGGATGGCATAGGCCACGCTTTTTAACTGCACAGTTTAGTCAAGTTGTAACTGTGTAAATAGACATGCCTTACATATTATTTTTTGTGTATCAAACATTTCGTTCTTTCAAACTTTTTTTTGTACGGAATCATTTACTTTCCATTAGGGAAACACTCCCTTCTTGGCCTTAGATTCGGTTTGTATTTAAGCATGCATGTTATTATTACTTGATGTAGAAACGAAAGGGGAAGTTTACTGTATATTTGTTTTATGTTATATTATTAACAAAAGAAAAGTAACAGTACCTAGATATTGCTAAAAATATTCATTTACACATGCTAATTTCAGTTTTGATTTTACCAATCACCATATCATTATTTTTCTGTTAAGATTTTACAGTTTAGTATTTGCATGGTCACTTTGCGGTGCCATTTATTTTGGTGACTAATTAATTCCTGCACAACGGTGTTCCATCCTCAGATTTTGTTTGCGAGAATGTGTTTCAGCTCAAAAATTTGGCACCTGAAAAAAACACCTATTCCATTAATAATTAAGTGTAACTAGATAACATTTCATGCCTTCTAAATGGGAGCTACATGTATCTACAAGTCTGTTTCTTACTCAGGACTTCTCAACATAGATATTATTGGAAAACTGTTTCATTCAAAATCTGTAATCAGATGACATGTAAAGCTTTCGAAAATCCCTGTTAATTTAGTTTTAAATTATTCAAGCTCATAAGATTGGAGAATGAAGATGAAGTTATCTTTGTTTTTTTTTTAGAAGTTTTCATTAAAATGGAATATCCCCTCAATAATCAATACCAAAGGGCCGACTTGTCACTTGTCAATAACCTATGTAGTTACACTACCTGAGGTAAATACAGGGGGAAACAGATACACATTGTCCATTTGATCCATTGTAACATTGCAGTGGCCAGCTGGCCCTATTGTAACATGCTGATGAAGCTTATTACATGACTGGCAGGCCCAAATAGACATAAATGATATCTAGAAGATAAAACTCAAATTTCTATGTGTATTTGGCTTGCATTTGTGTGAAAATTCTTTGAAATTGATGATCTAAGTCTTCATATGCTGAGCTGAAAAGGCGGCCCACAAACAACTAATAATACTTTTGCCCCAGTCACACATTTACGGTTTGGAGCTACGGATATCCACGGTTAAAAATTCGTGGTAAACCGCGGGAGTATCGTATTCATCCTTAGTACATCCGTGGTTATCCGTCATCTTCCTTGGGTATTCGCGGAGGGGCTAGGGAAGTTTTAAACTGTTCCAAACTCCCGCGGTAAATCGTCATGAAAATCAATCCGTAGTGCAACCGTGGGACATCCGTAGGACAACCTTAATAATTCGTAGTGCTATTCGTACATATTCTTGGAGATTCGTAGCTCATTCGGGGTAGAAGTTCTACGAATTTGCTACGAATGTCCTACGGATATGCCCGGATTTGCTAGGATTCTGCTAAGGTTCGAATATGTATGCTTTATTCGTAGGAGAACCTTGGTCATCCGTGGCCCGATCGCAGGACAACTGTGGCGTTAACGTCATTATTCTTAGTAATACCGTCGATATTCTTCACCAATCCGTCTATGTTCTTGACAAACCGTGGTGTATTCGTAGAGAAACCGTAGGACAGTCGTGGCTATCCGTCCTGAAACCGTTGTGCATTCTTAATCTTAGAAAGTGGATTTTTCCACGAATCTCGACGGTTCATTGTGATCGATTGATTCTTCGTAAACCGTGGATATTTGTAGCTCCAACCGTGAATGTGAGACTGGGGCTTTATGAACGAGCTATTTTTTTGTCAGGTGTGGTTATACCCCATACCTGGTTCGTATGGCGGCTGCCTTAGGCGCCTTTACATGCCTTCGGCTTGACCACGTTGAAGCCATGTCCTTCACAATTCAGACTCAACGGTCAGATTTTTACTTTTCCCTTGGATAACTATTCTGGGAGGCATTCGGTTTCATTTTTTGTTGTCCTCTTGGCCAAGTATCCTGAACTCGCCCCTTCAGGAGCGATTCGTCGTTTCCACCTGTGAGTCAGAATAAACGTCATTATTCGTAGCAACACCGTCGATATTCTTCAACAATCCGCCCATATTCTCGACAAACCGTGGTGTATTCGTAGTGAAACCGTAATGCATTCTTAGAAAGTCGATTTTTCCACGAATCTCGACGGTTCATCGTGATCGATTGATTCTTGGTAAACCGTGGATATTCGTAGCTCCAACCGTGAATGTGTGACTGGGGCTTTAGGCGTGCATTGATTCAGCCTTGGTATCCTGCTTCGGTTTAAATGGTTTTATGTTACCATACTTCCTGAAAACGGGATAGCGTGGTGTCAATTCAAAGCAAATGAGGATTGTGTGTCCAAAACTCTGATCTGAATAAGGTGTGTCCGTCGGTGGCTGTATTTTTTTTTTTTTTTTACTTGTTCTTGGAAAAAAAGCAATGAAATACGTTGTTTATCGACCATAACCCAAAAGCAGGTCAACCCCGCCTATAATAAACTGCATTCTCCCCATCACTTTTCCTAATTTTAAAAGTAACAAAAACGGGAAAAAATCAACTGAGTGCAATAAATGTGAGTTAACAGAAACGCAATCCGAGAACAATTTAAAAAAAATATTGAACCAATCTGTATTTCAATCGTTTCTATAACTCGGTTTAAACCCCTTTTTAAAAACTGAACTGTCTCAACTTTATCAACGATAAGCAAAACGAAATTTAATAGAAATATTGGATAAAACCTGACTCATGAAATCAAAGTAAATATTGTAATAAATGTCAGATTAAATTCATTTAAAAGTCATGGGGAGAATGCAGTTTATTATTATAGGCGGGGCTGACCTGCGTATTGTTCAGGGTTGATAAACAACTGTATTCCATTGTTTTGGGGTGTTGTTTTCTTTCAAGGAAAAACAACTGCCGACGGATACACCTTTTCAGATCAGATTTCTGGACATACTATCCTCATTTCCTTTGAATTGACACCGCGCTATTCCGCTACAGGAAGTCTGGTAAAACCAAAGTATTGTTTGAAACCGAAGCAGGATACATTAGAATCACACTCTTGGAAAAAAATGGTCCGGTTAACTTATTCTTTATGATGCGACTTGCGGTTTTGCCGAAGTCAATTGAGTGTGATCGGCTATAAGGTTTACGCACAAAACCATGGGCCAATGAGGCTTTGCATAGAAAGCTGGCCGAACCATATTTTCGGAGAGTGTGGTGGTAATGAGACTTGAGCCTGCATGCTGCGCTGCCAACATCACCAATGGCATCCCTACATTTGCTCGTGCAAATAGGACCCATTTTGAACCCTAATTTTATCAAATCTGCTCTTAGATAATAGCCCAAAAGCTAGGGAGATGATCCTCTGCAAAATTCGCACGATTACACCGGTTTTTAAACTATACGGTCTCGTTTTTTACAAAAAATTGTGGGGGGCACTTTCTATGCAAATGACTCGCGTATAAATTTTTGAAACCCTATAATCACTCGCGAATTTATTGCGCCCGCTGTCGGTCTTATTGTGCCATTCGGATATATCGGCTGAATAGCCCCCCCCCCCCTCCACCACCACCACACCGAAAAATAATAGTAATAAAATACTGTTGAAAAATGTGCTCGTTCATTCAGAAATTCCTGACGCATAATATCCAAACTGATTGGATGTTTCCAAAGTGTCTTTCCCAATTGCAAAAGCTCTTTTTAAAAGCCTACTACATGCAGCATTAGAATCACACTCTTGTTGGAAAAAATGGTCCGGTTAACTTATTCTATTGCGGTTTTGCCGAAGTCAATTGAGTGTGATCGTCCGACTGATAAGGTTTACGCACAAAACCATGGGCCAGTGAGGCTTTTTGCATAGAAAGGTGCCCGACCATATTTTTGGAGAGTGTGGTGGTAATGTACCATAAGCCTGCACACATGATGGACGTAAGGTAATTAACCAAGAGATTTGTTAGATTTTTAAGCAATACATTAATTACATTGTCCAATAAATTACAAGACATAGTACAAACGTAACCCATGGCATATGCGAACGTTTACTTTTTCATTTCCAAAATACATAGGATGTCATCCATGCTATCGATTTAAATTAAAGAACAAGGTTTTCAGCAATCCACCTCCGACCTTCAGGATGCGCAAGCGCAGGCCTGCATTGAGCACGAGGTGGGCAATTTACCTGCAATGATGAGACGCATGGGCCATGAAAGATATGCGCTGCCGCTGAGAACTTCGTGTTGAAAGGGCAGGCGGACTGTGGTGGCAGATGATATCATACATCATGTAGGGTGTTGAATCCTGAATGATCACGATTATCAATTGGCAGTTATTCTGCTTTGTTCATGTTTACATAAACTTAAATTTCCCTTGAGCCTACGTCTCTTATGTCTGGATGTGCTCATAATGTTTTACATCAAACTGCCACACCCAGGTTTTTACATACCTTTTTCAAGACATTGGGCCTTACCGATGAATGACCAGAGCAATGCATCCAAGATATCAATGGAAAGCTTACAGTCCCCAGTTTATGACAAAACCATAATATTGGTCATAAAGAATGTAGCTTGGTCATTATTCCTTTGTGGGTTACCTTTTTTTGGGGGGGGGAGCACTTTATGGGGCCTCCACTAATTCCAATCATATTTGGTCTCGTATAGGCCTCTGTGGCCTAATGAGGCCCGAATGTAATCAGTGTTCAGTCTCTGCAAGGCCTCCGTAGCCGACGGTCCTGGAGAGAACCAACGCCTGTGATGATGACGTGCTGTTCCCGCCCTCACAACTCGGGCGCCTCTGAAAACGCGCGGGGAACAGCGGGAAAAACCCACTCCCCCTAAAGTAGACACCAACATGTAGCGTAGACATGACAATGGCGCAAAGTAGCAGACATACCAAACCCAGAACCATGACTACATCAAGGATATAACCCCGATTAGCATACTGCACCATCAAAGCCTCGTACGCACGGGCTGGAAGCTCATGCTTAGCGCTCGAAGGGGGTGACCTGGGGACGAGGAAGCCAACAATCAACATTGTTATCCCTGCAAACAACAAGATGGATACGATTGTCAGCAGACAGTCGGGCCAGCTGTGGCAGGACAGTCGGCATATGTTCGGTAGCCCTGAGTACGTGCGTGACAGGTTGTCGTCCGTGCCATCGAGGCTATCGATGTCGTCGTTGATACTCTCCGTGCGACTGTTCTGTACATCACCCGCTCGAGCAGCCATTTCGGAAGAACTTATCTTGCAAAAAAGAATCAAAATTGTAATATTTTGGTACTGATAGATCACGTGATACATCAACAATGTGCCTTATTCTTCATCAATATGAAGTTGGCGCAGAACTTGGAAGAAAGAGAAAAACGCTTCAGAGACGCTCTGACCCTTTTCTCTCAATATATTCACCGGTAGTCCCTGTCACGTGTTGTTGCCATCTTATTTTCTGACATCAAGTCTAGCGCACCAATAAAGATGCTAGTTCTGTTTCAAAATTTACAATGGGCTGCACCGTGTTTGCTGACATCAAACATTTATGATGCTCATCTGTTCGGATGATTTGTAGGCAGCTGCAATTTGATTGGAATAAGCATGTGTACATCACACGATTATGATGGCAGTGACGTCACATCAGTGCTGACTCCAGTTTTGACGCGTTTATAGTTTACATGTACCCGCTATTTGTATCACATAATTTCTGGTAAGGGCCATCGTATCGGCACTCCACATACTTGTTGCATAGGCTCATCGTCAATGTACATCTGCAAAAATATAAAAGTTCGTTTGTGTTTGGGTTAAATTCTGTATCTTTGAAATTGTAAAGTGAAAGGGGTGTCTGTAATTAGTGTTGATATGATCGGCCGCATACAACATAAAGCAATTTGCATCTGAAATAGAACGATATCTTCCAGGCATGGAGCTTCATATTCTCCATGCTGTACGGCTAACTGCCAGAGTAACATTGTACTTTTGTTGAGAATTGGTCTTCAAAAAATATAATTCAGATTATACTTAAAGAAACATTCATAGCAGTAATCGTTTAACCTGTAAATCGTGTATTCAGTGTAGGCTTACTCTATCATCAGAGGTTCCCCATATTAGTAAAACATTGTCGGAAAATTAGTTATATTTGGTCAAGTATGACTTGAACCTTAGCATGACTGGCAGATGACTGCATATTATATCGTGAAGTCCAAACTCCGGAAGACAACCAGAAACTACAAAACGACATCGATACCCTTTGTAAATGGGAGTCCAAGTGGCAGATGAGATTCAACGTCACCAAATGTTATGCCATGCACATGACCCACAAAAGGAAACCTCTTTTGTCATCTTATAAGATAAACGACGATCCTCTCCAAACAGTCACAAATCACACCTACCTGGGAGTAGAATTAAACAACAAACTGAACTGGGCTGAACACATAAGTAACTCTACTTCTAAAGCAAACAAAGTTCTTGGGCTGCTGCGTAGGAATCTGTTCAGCTGCTCCACCAAAGTTATAAAGAAACTGCATATAAGACCCTGCTCAGACCTAAGTTAGAATATTGCGCCAGCATGTGGGATCCATACCATCAGGACCACAAAAATAAACTGGAAGCTGTCCAACGCAGAGCGGCCAGCAGATTCGTTTGTAAGGACTTCAGACGCACAAGTAGTGTCTCATCCATGATCACCCACCTCGGATGGAAATCATTGGAGGAATGCGGGACCATATCTAGACTAACCTTGCTGTACAAATCCATTCATCATAAAATCGCAATTGATGTTGACCAGTACCAAGTTGACTCCAAACAGGACAAAATCTCAACTAGAAAATATCTTCATTATCCTTTGTTCACCCTACATCTAAAAAGGACTTCTACAGATACTCTTTGCTACCAAGAACAACAGCTCAGTGGAACTTACTTCCTACCGAAGTCAGGGAAGCTACTTCAGTGGAGTCCTTTAAGTCAACTGCAAGGCTCCATGAGATGCAGTTGTCTTCAACACTAAGGGGGCCTACTAATAAAATTGTATAGGGATGCTGCTAGCCACCACGCGCCTGCAACCGTATATCCCATAGTGGAGTTTGCTTGCAGTATGCTACAGATACAGATACAGATGCATGACATAAACCTATTTAATAGTATACACACAACAAACTCACCCATGTCGATCATGAAATAAGTGCTAAATTACTCGTGTTGTCTTCAGAGTATCTGAATCTTATGAACTGCATCACGCGGCGAAACATGAACAGTATACGTGTACACATCGATGAAGTAATTTTCTGTGCCCTTTTCATATCCAATGGTATCATTGCCACTCGATTAAATTCACTGTTCTTTACTATCAGCAGCAGCTGTTAGGTATTCATTTTGTTGTTTGTTATTCAACATCTGGTGTGCGGCAGAGACAAACATCGGCCTGCTAGTATCGATTTTTTTCAGTTACTCTTGACAACAACATGTGACGCCATTTTTTGTTTCAAACCCATTGCCATTATTATTGGTAATTCTGTTTGGTTGTGTCATGAAACAGGTACATAATTATGTCAGAGTTAAGTTCCGTTCAGTTCAGGCTATTCTTAAGATCCAAGGCACTTTTTTTTAATACAAGGTCAAATGTTCATACTTGAATTTGGTAGTTTCTATTATTCAACTCAGTAAACACAGCCAGATTTGTTTAAAATCGAACTTCGTATTTCTATAATTGTTTGTATTGTGTATTAGGCCGTATGGTTGATAGGACAGGTTATCAGCGCGCATGATGAACAAGCAAACTAACCAGCTGTTCACGGGAAAGCATTACCATTTAACCTTAAGTCAAAACTTCTTGTAAATGTGCCTTTACCAGGGGTCGATGCTGTATGTATTTAACTGTGTTCTGCATTTGTATTTATTTGTGTTTTGCAGAGCCAGGTTGGTTTTGTTCTTTCCTCGCCTTCCACCACCTCTATGGCCCGGGTTCGATTCCTGCAGCTGACATAGTTTTCATTTCCTGCCTTATTCTGTGGACTTTGCCTGCAATATCACTCCGGGCTTTTCCTCCCACCTCTAAACCTGAACATTTCTTCATTGTCTTCTCTCTCTGACTTTTCTTCAGGCTTCGGAGCTACAATATCCGTGGAGTTTTGAGGAACCCTTGGGTTTCATTTCAACATAAGAATCAAAATAATGAAATCTAAGTGCACTACAGGGTGACCCCCAAAAAGTTGTGATATCGTTAATTTTTTCAAAAAGTACCTAACATGAGTATTTTATTTTGATGGAGCATATTAACTATACTCTTGTGTATAATCTGTAAAAATGTCATGGAAACCCATTCATGCAAACCAGAGCTGTAACAGATTATAGAAAGGATATGTGCTTTTCAACTATTCCAATGGGAATTACACATTGCATTGGAAATCGCTCAACCGGCACTCTGCAATGTTTTTTTTTCATTAACTGTGTAAATCACACTGGAACGGGTGAAAAACACATTGCCATTTATAATCTGTTGTATCTCTGGTTTGAATGAATGGATTTTCGCTGTGATTATACACAAGAGTACAAACAATATACTCCACCAACATGAAATGCTGATGTTGGATACTTTTTGAGAAATTTAAAGATGTCTGCTTGCACAACTTTTTGGGGGTCAACCTCTGTACAAAAAGGTTATGAAAATCAAATCGAATGTTAAAGACGCAAATATGCGCCGATAGAGATTGAAATCCACAGAAGGAAATGAATCAGATCCTTCTATGTGTTATGAAACATCAGTACACCTGGCTCTAGCCATCCTGTCGTGAGAAAAATGTAATGAACACAACCGCCATCCTGTATATAAAAACAATATTTTCGATGAAAAACAGAAATGTAATTTATCAGATCCTAGGAATAAGATCCTTTTTAAGTGTAATGAAACATCAGTACCGCTCTAGCCATCCTGTCGTGAGAAAAATGTAATGACCACAACCACAATCCATTATAAAAACCGTGTTTTCGATGAAAAATAAAAATGTCATTTAGTTCCTTTTCACTTTTGTCAACACGCCCAATTCCTGAACAGCAGGTTATAAAAGGTAAATTGCTCGAATCTTTCGATCACGGTCGTTCTCTGAAAAAAAAACCCCTCATGTTCTGACGCACATTGTTAACCAGTGTGCGCTCGACAACCGTATATTGGACAGTGTTTTGGCAGACTCCAGACAGTGGTGGTTGAAAATCCCGATTTTGGTTGCGAGTAAAACTTAACAGTTTCGCAGACGAACATTTAGATCACTTGGATCAAAAGACCAGTTTTCAGACGTAATATCGCTCACCATGTTTCATACCGCTATCGAGTGCATTTCGGTTGTCTTTGTGATCACAGCTCATTTACCGAGTCATGTTGATGGTGTCTACTTCTTGCGTCATCCTAGAGATACAGAAATCGCCGAGGGAGAAAGTTTGGAGCTTCACTGTGATGTGGAGGATCGTAAACCGTGGGAGCGGATGCTATGGGCGTTCCGCTGGGACGGTGAGGACGGACTGTGGCGGTATATTCATATCACAGGCGGGGATTTGTCGCAGGACAACATTAGCCATGACATCGGCAGGTCTCACTTTGTTCACCGCGGCAGCTACTCGCACCGTAGTGAGACGACAGAGTCCCTGGAAAGCAGGGATGGTGTCAGCCGGATGTTACAGGTCGACAACTACACGCTCAGGATCGAGAAGGCGCGACATCGGGACTCCAAGGGCGGATCCAGGGGGGGGCCAAAGGGGGCCATGGCCCCCCCCAAAACGAAACCAATTTTTTTTTTTTTAATGTGACATCGCAATAAAGGCAGGCAATGAGTACCCCACCATCTTTTACTCAAAACAAATTGGTTAAAGTGGTCAGAAATTGCCTCAGATCGCACCACAGAGCATCTAGAATCCAAAAAATTTTCGGGGCCCTAGCGGGCCCCGAACCCCACGCCGAAATTTTTTAGACCCACTTTTGGGGGGACCAAAATTTTTTTTTGGCCCCCCCAAAAACTGTGTCCTGGATCCGCCCTTGCGGGACTCAGGCATGTACATGTGCGCCTACTGGCCGGATTGTCCAGCAGGGGATGTAGGTTTCGGTGCTAAAACTGCACGAGTGACTGTCTCGTTACCCAAAGACTCACCATCTCTGACTTGCAACAGTCTTTCTACTGAACTCACTCGCGGAGTTGCAACCGAGGTTGCTCTGCAATGCACCGCGACAAAAGAGCTCGCTGGCAGAGGCTTGAAACTATCGTGGTTCAGGGAGGATGAACGGCTTCTGAACCCTGACCAGGAGGCCGACGATAACGTGTATTTACGGCATTTGCTCCAAGCGGATGAAAACGGGCTCAGGTTCTACTGCGAGGTGAATGGGCCACACGGTAAGGAATCTTGCTCCGAGGTCCCACTGAATATTCCACCTACCTTGTCCCTTACTCCCACTTCGCAAACAGTATACGAGGGCACCGATGCCGTCTTTACATGTACTGCCTCCGGAATGCCGTACATCCAGACTTTCACTTGGTACGTGGAAGAGACACGCACCTTGATGAAGGACTCAGGCTCACGTGTACTTGTCGAAAAAGGAGACGGCACCTCCTCATTGCGATTGAAGCGAGTCAAGACATCTGCACACAGCAGAAGCATCGCCTGTGTTGTTGCTGTTCCGTCCGGTGTGTCAGCTAACGCTACCGGGAGTTTGATGGTCCAGAAAGCCGAGCGAGTCGAAGCCGTGCTTTCTCCCGGTGGCCAGGTAGACGTTCCCCCTTCGACGTCTGTGTTCTTCACCTGCTCCGCTCTCCCGTCAGAACTTACCAGCGTTGCCTCGTTCGCATGGTCATCTTGATGGAGTAGGCCTAAGGATTGCAAACGAAACGAGCGGTGGTATCGCGGTTGTCACAAGCACAGATCCTTCTAGGGATGATACAGACCGCCAGAACAACGATTTATCCGAGCTGAGATTCGGCATCTGGAGTGCCGGATCTACCGGGGAAATCCTACACATTGATTTTCTGAAACCATCCGATCTCATGTTTAATATCACCTGCGAAGTTCGAGTTCCAGATCTGAAAGCTGATCACAAATCCTGTCACGTAAACGTGCGCAACAAAAGCGCGAGCGATATAACCCAGACCGTCCAGACGGTAGCCATAACTACCGGTACTGGTGCCGCGTGCTTCGTTCTCGGCTTACTGTCGGCTCTACTTCTCTTTATCGTTTGCCCTCTACGTTGCAAGAATCGAGTCACCATCTCAGGCAAAGACGGGCAGTCTGGAGTAACCGAGGTGAAAGGTTTGTCTATTCAACCGACACGGGTTGAGGATGAGCAACTGTCTTCAGGAGGTGTTCCTGAGCAGCGGGCAATGTCATCAAAAGTGTCAGACAGAAAAGCCAGCAGCAAGAAGGAGATCCAACATACGTACTGCAGCACCTTGGAACGCAACGACAGCGACAACCTTCACTTAGGGATTCAGATGAATGTTCTGTCTAGCATGACGTCTTACGAACAGAACGCAGAGACAGTGACGACGCCAATGTCCGCTACCCTACCCCGGGAGCACAGGAAGAAACCTCTTCTCCACACCGAGTCCGTGAAAGGTGCGACCGGGAGCTTGGAAGACGACACTCCTTGCTTGGAAGGGGAGGGGATACTTCTGAAATTCCGCAAGTTACCGAAGAGGGCTTCCACCAAGGATGAAAGAGGATATGAGGTCCCGTACACTATTTCACGGTCAGTTTCTGAAAACCTATAGCGATTCCACTGAAAAATGTGGAAGTAATGTGAAACCCCCATTTTTGTTGATTTCTTTAAAGTGCGCGAAGCCGGAAGTACTGAAATTTTCTGTAGGTTTTCTGTGTTTCTGTTGTACCTCGAATAATAAAAGTTGTCTTTCATACATTCCTTGTCCATAAAAGCCAAAAAAAGAATCGTTTTAATGAGTGCCGAGCCCATGCCCAATAATTTACGCCCAAACTTCGTCCATCACATACCGCCGACGTTTTGCATCCGTGTCCTGTACGTCGATCACAAGGGGTCTCAAAATATCATCTAGTTTTGATCATGTGATTTACTTTACTGAGCAAATCAGGATACTTAATTGAGTAAAAAAATGAGCAATTACAAATCTCAAATTAAAGTTATTGAAGACGTTTTGAAAATCAAATGAAGTCCTGATACATGCGTCTAGAATATCCAGAACTTAAAGCCGAGGTTTATGCAGTCGCGTATCCAGCGGGGAGAGCTGGGGGCAACTACCTCACGTCATGAACGGAACTAGAAATGAAGCCATGTTTACTTTTAACACAGGGACACTACTCTGAAAATGAAAGATGTGCAAGTACACTTTACGAATAAATTTCTTTAGATTTTGTGAAAGCTTTTTTAAAGATTTCAGCCAATTAACATATCGATTAACAGTAAGTCGATTTGTATCAAATCTCGACTAGAAAGCATCAATAAAATATAACTTTATTGGGATATTTCCAATCCAATCTTTATGATTACTTTACGGTGGCCCATACGTCACCTTATTTTGATGCCGTAAAAAAGACAAGGCAAGTAAAGCTGGTCCCAGAGTGCACACTATTCGAAGAAGAAGAAGAATGGCTACTGACAGATTCATTGGCTTTAAGGGGTAATCCTATACGATAGGACTGCCCGGCTAAGTCAAAGTGACAGTCCGTCAGTCTCTCACATAGGTACACAGGTGATACTAGGCTGGCTCTCTGGGATCACAAAAAAAAAGGTCCTGAACGGCGAGCTTCGGTGCAAAACCCACAAGGGAAAGTTATTCCATCGCCTCACCGGGGTTGATTATGACTGTATTAAATAACTTTCATAATAAGGGTCAGCTTGCAGTCAAATCGTGACTGTCCAAAACATATCAGAATAAGTTTTACTATGAAATGAATGGGAATTATTTTCCTTGCATAATTATGTTACTTTTGAAAAAATAATAATAAAGTATTATACTTTCCAACATTTCACATTCCTGTTAATTCATGATCATGTCCCCCTTATATTACATCGATCTTTAAACCATTATTTATCATGTGATGCTGTAAATGTTGAACAGTTTTATTCCAGATAAAATTATAAATTTATCTATAAGGCTTAATGTATACTTGCTATTTGTTATAAAAAGATTTAAAGCGCTTAGCTTTACACTGAATGGATCAAGATGTTTAAATAGGTAGGCCTACATCAGAGTAGGCCTACATCGGCATTTGCCGAAATAAGTGTATTCATTAAGACATTTCTTGTGGTCAAATTGCATTTTAACCCTGGTGTATAAGATAAGGTAACCCGAATGTATAAAGCCCGGCGCACACCTTCCCGATTTTACCGGTTTCCCGGATCACCCCATCACCGGTACGGTAATTTTTCACCGTTGCGGTTAGGCTGCAAAGTTTAATGCCCGCACACATGCTCAATTCCGTCCTATATTCGGTCACATGATGATCAGTCACATGATTGATCAGTCACATGATGACCAGTTACACGATGACAACCATGTGACTTGCTTCGTAAATCTGATAGGTTAACATAAATATTGCGTCCGGTGAAATCGGATGCAAAAAAAATATCGCATGATTGTTTGATTTCTTCCGGTCGCCCGGTGCAACGGTCAGGTACGGGTCGGTCTGAATGTTCAGCGCAAACCTTTGTACGATGGCCCGATGATCTGGTGAACTGGTACAATTGGAAAGGTGTGCGCCGGGCTTAACGAGCTAGTTTAAGTATGGACTTCAGCACTGTTAAAGTGATTCTATCCTAAAGGGTGGTTCATCAGCTTTTATCTCTGACCGATCATCATTGATTTCAAAACAATGGCCAAAAGCCTCTTTTTCAGGTTTGCTGAATAAGTTGTGAGTTAAAAATCAATGTCGGAAGAACGCGCTGTCGCTGTGGACAATGCAGTCCAATTAGCTATACGTTCTGAGTACCTTATTTTTGCAGATTTATTCATCATGATATATGATGTTCCATTTATGTTGAAACACCTTCGCCATGTCTCCCCCCCCCCACCCAGCCCTGAATCAACACTATACAGCCATGTGGTTGCGAAGGCCTAAGCGTCGCCGTTGTTAAACAAAGTTAATCCGATTACGTACTTGGACGCTATAACAGAGCAGTGAAATTCATGCACCCCAAAAAATTGGCCTTTTGAACGCTGTGTTTCTCAGAAAATATGCTCAGTGTGATTGAAATGTTAAATTATAACGGAAGAAGAAATTCTAAACTTCATGTCAGTGAAAACATCGCCGTCATCGATGCCGAAACGTCAATTCTGGTTACTGGTAAAGCTGACCTTAAAGTCGGGAAGAAGTCGTTCGAAAACGTTCCCAAATCTATGTATTTATCTCAATTTCTAGGAATCCCCTCAAGTTATTATTTCACGGGTAGTTGAACACTTATATCATCTAAGTATGTTCCGAATTTCAGCTTAATCTGTTGTTGCAAACGCTTGTGTTCCACCTTGAACTATCTCCAAGGTAAATTTCGACGAGGATTTTTTTCCGACCAAATTAACTCACGTGCATGGTTTACAGGTTCGCTGATTTTGGGGCGACAATGACAAAGCGCATAAATAGCATATTCATTAGCGTCACTCGGCGTGACTTCTCGTGGGTCTCGGTATCGACCAATGGAAGCCGGCAAAAAGGGTGATATTTATTAATTTATAACTCGTGAAGGAGGCTATTCTGCAATTTTTTTACTGCACACCATTATGGATAAGAACTTTATTAATATTCGTGAGGCTTGAAAAGATTGACAGATATTGCAAACACCAGTGTTACAAATGTTAAAACTGCACGTAGCCAGGCCTATTTTTTTCAATTTGAACGAAAAGTACTGAACATATCAAAACGATTTTTAGCACTTAGATGGATCATTAGAAGTTAAACAAACCCTGAAAGTTGCATGAAGATACGGTCTTCCAAACGGGAGAAATTAATTTTCACCCGCCAATGTGAACATGTCTGTGTGCATGTTGTTTCATTCAAAATAAAGTATTACGTAACCTTTAGAAATTGGCCTTCGCAACCATACGGCTGTATAAATTTACTGGGACGGCGCACTGGTTTGGACAGCTCAATAAGCCTCTGTACTGATGACGTCACACTTTGTTTTCATGTGCACTTTCCTATGGAGCCAGTGGGGGCCCACAGTCCACTGAGCACGATAGGAAAGCACACACGTAAACAAAGTGTGACGTCATCAGTACAGAGGCTTATTCACAACTTAATCAGGCAAACAAGTATTACGTAACCTTTAGAAATCGACCTTCGCAACCACACGGCTGTATAAATTTACTGGGACGGCGCACTTGTTTTGGAAAGCTCAATTCACAACTTAATCAGGCAAACTTGGAAACAGTTGGTGCTTGGCCTTTGTTTTGATATCAATGGTGCTCGGTCATCCGTGAATGCATAGATACATGTAAGGTATCGATGCAAAGCTTAAACGAACTACCGTTCAAGATGGAGTCACCTTCAGATGTTAAGTTGCTAACCCATTATTTTTTGATTACTTTTTCGTTAAAATTTGTGAATTTACGATGTATTATTGCAGCTGTATCTACGACATAAAATAAGCACTATGTGATTTGCATGTACAAAAAAAGCTTCTAAAAACTCATGAACAGATGTCGAATCCGTAGTTTTACCTGCAGGATTTATTATGTATTTTCGGAATAAAAACGGGATTGTTTCACCACCAATTTCCTCAAACGCCACCAAAATCTGCTACATTTCAGTGATTTTAAACAAAATATTGTATGATAGCTACCAGGATAGACACAAAGTTTCAGATCAGTTGGTGATACTTTCGCTTTTAACGAA